ATAATCAGACAATAGACGTTCAGCGTTACTTTGGCTGGTCACAAATGTGATCGGTTCTGATGCCATTGTATCGAGGAACATACAAACACGTACTCAACATAGTGTTATAAAACAGGAAAATTTTAATAGTAAATAATTTAATTTAGATTCCGTATATATAAAGGTACGTAAGCTATTTTTATTTTTTTCAAAAATTTTATGAGATTTCTTTTTGACGAATAATATTATTTTTAATATTTAAAAAATAGAATATTGTAATTTATTTTCCGTTTACGATTTGACATTCATTTCTTTTATAATAATCAATTTTAATCATGGATATATCGTACTTGAATAAACCAGAAATTATTTATGAACTGAAATTACGAAACGCGAATTTTGAATCCACCCAAACGGCTCAAGAATTGCGTGAAATTTTATTACCAATGATAGGAGACCTTGAGAAATATTCTTGGATTACTTATTTATTTATTATTACTACCCTGTAAATATTCATAACGTTTTCATTTAATTATTTGGCTACTCATACTTATTGTTATTTTTATTATCTTCATAATTTATTATTTTTATCTAGTGCGGATGACAACACTATAAACAAGCCAATGTCAAATATCAATTTTAAAGTGCGGTTGATAACACTATAAATAAGCCAATATCAAAATATTTCTTTGTGTACTTATGTATACTTATTTACTTACTATCTAACACTACATAATGTATTGTTATACCTAATGCATTACCTACTTTATTTACTACTACGATTGTATATTATTCTACACTCTACATTTAGACACTTACACAACACACTCATCTACACTCAACAACACTACACAATTCACCTAAAGTCAGCGGGTGGTGACTGACATTATTTTAAAGAAGCCTACACTATTTTCTGGGTCGATTTATTAGAGATAATCTTTCTTAAATACAAGTTACCTCTAATCGCTAGGAATTTTTATCTCAATAAGATAAAGATTGTTTGAATGATGTTTGAATGATGAAGTAAGAACATTTTATGAAAGGGAAATCGCCTAATGTAATTTATCCACTATATATACCATCCCCATTTCTAAATTAAATCATGATAGCATTAATTAATCACATTTTATATAAAATATTTTAAGCTTGATTAATCCAAAAATATCTAAAAAAAATCTTTCAGATTTTTTTTTAACCCCGCCCCCCCCGGTATTGTAACGGTGTGCCATGCCACCGTTTGTTTTCCTAGGTTTCAGTATGCAAACTTTTTACTTTTGAAATTCAACATCATTTCATTTTATTATTCGTCTTTCGTAATTTAAAATTTTGACTAATCAATTATACTCTTTATGGATGTCAGTTCGTAAGAAATTCTCCTATGCACAAGATGAAATTATAATACAATACAATATTAATGGTATAAATTTTACTATGTAATTTTAAAATAATTCATTTATTGTGATAAATAATGTGATATGGTGATACAAATTATATAACATATGTAACTACTAAATTGTAATCTGTATTTTGGAAGATCCAAAAGTTAACTAGAAGCCCGACAAGGGATATGTATTCGTTTATTTGATAAGTATGTATTAGTTAAGTAACTTACGAACTGTTTTTATAAATTTATTTTTGTTTATTACAGTTTTTTCTTATTACCCTTATTTCACTAATAAATATATACTCAAGCTAATCAGCCTTATTAATTGACCCAAGCACCGAACCAGTAACACAACTAAATACAAGTATTTATGTCAATTCTAACTCTAGTGCTAATAAAATAACGAACAGTAATGGGAATATTTTCTTGTTAAAATGTAGCGAAACTTCATGTACTATTTATTAGCATGTACATAAAAAAACCGCGCGCACGGCAAGTGAATGGAGCCCTTGATAAACAGCTTTGCCTTTGATAACCAGGGACGAATTCAGTTTATCTATTTTTCGAATTCGTATTTTGTTACAAATATGTAACCAAACCCTTACTGTATCTTAAGGGATTTTAGGAACCGTTAGGCCTTATGCTCACGAGCCAGTTTTGCGCCGGAAATAAGCCCGGCGTCAAACCGGGTCTACGGGCGGTCGTCAGTCGTGTATGAAACTCTATGAAGCTAAACACACGACGCCGGCGCTAGAGCCGGTTCGCCGTGCAACCGGGCACGGTGCTGGCCGCGTATACGCCCGGCGCGCAGTGGAGTATGGCAGTCTGTGAGCGCATGCACACGAAACCGGACCTACGAGCGGCGCATGCACAGGGCTACCAACGCGATGGCGATAAACCAAGAGTTATATTAATTAATTCTTCCATTCAAAAGTACATCTCAAATTTCTTATCATCCTCCATTAGTTGCTTCTGAACGAGCGTATGATATGCACCATGATCTTCTCTTTCTGTTAGCATAGGATGGACCCAATACCGTCTTTACATTTTTTTATCGTCTTTTTTTAGCTTTTTATACCTGTACCACGCAATAATACATTTTCTTTTTTTAACACAACATTTTGTACGTTCACAATTCACGAAATGAAACGAGGGAATGAAGGCGGCACCCCCTTGAAACCGGGTCGTGTATAAACCATCTAGTGTGCACGGTCGGACGGTTTCTACCCAGCGTCGCGGCCTTATGGTTGAATGTGTGGTCCCTACTGTGGTGATGGAGACAACTGGCCAGGGAGACTAATGGATAATTGTCTCCCTCCGAGCTAGCCGTTGTTAGCCCGGAGATTGCGGCCCTACCGATCTAGGCTGGACGTAAAACGCTAATTGGTAATGAAACTTATTGTGGGCGATGTAGGTTTCTTTGTACTAAATGCCTTGTAGCTATTAATTTATGCTGTTTGTATTGGTACAGCGCCATCTCGTTACTTGCTGTTGAAACTTATTGCAGTTCGTCTTGCTATCGATGGCTGTGAGGATGCTAGTTTTCTCGCTATCAATTGTTGTGGCGATGTTAGTGCGATGCGTTAGATGTCGCTATGTATCAGTCGCCACAGGATGATGTATTAGTTTAACTACTTTAATAAATGATCGTGTTATTTGATCCATTTAGTTTTCAACGTCATGTAAATTAGTTAACATTAGAATAATCTTTTAACAATGATTTATTAAATGTTAGTCTATTAATTAATTTCAGCATTTTCACTCATTCCTTTAGTAGTCAGTTTGAAATTATTAAAAAAAACACTTAACTAACATTATTTAGTTTTCGTTTGCGATTTTGAGTTTTTTTGATGATCAGTTGATAGCAGTTTGATAAAACTATTAGTTTTGTGAAATTAAAAAACGTAGGTTATTGAAAATAAGCACTAGAGATTTTCTACTCTTTTTCAAATCAGAAACCGGCTATTAGTCTGTTAATCAATTCAAGCATTTTGACTGTCTTATTTAGTTATTGTCTGGTAGAATTTGCATGAAAACGGTCTTATAAATCATAAACTAGTTTATTTCGTTTTTAGAAATGAAGAAGTTAATGACCGATTAAAAACTTGTTCCTTAGTACGTCCCAAAAACTGGGTTCTCAGGGTGACTCATGGCTGAGTCAGGAAACAGTTTAATTTTAATACGCAATAAACAACAGTACAATAAGTTTTGATATTTATGTAACCTTAAAGACAAAATTCGAGACCCTAGTGGCAAGCAGTGGAGTCCACAATTCAACGACGGATAAAACAAGAAAAATGATTTAATTAATTTTTCTTGTTTTATCCAATATTTCACATGCTAATATTTATTTAAAATGAAAGAATAATAAACAATACTTACATTTTCCTCTAATAATTCCAAACGGAGACACTAAACACAAACTTTATTGCTTTAAACAAAGACTACAGTGAGCGGAGAATGTACCATAAAATAACAGCTCACTACTAAAAAGGATTGTATTACATCTTAGATTTTGTTTGTTAATATCCCGTCTTTGCTATCTTACTTTTTAATACGTAGGAGAAACAGGGACAAAAGTATTTTAGAGCGCTGATTCGGCCGATTTAAGGAGACCTAATGTTAACCACCGCGCTGCGGTCATGCCACATAAAGAAGCATATAAGAGCTTCTTTTTGTATAAGAGTCAGATGACGATGCTCGCGTTGCGGTGGGATAAATCGATTAATTTAATATCGATATTGTATCAGTTTGACACACGAATTGACATGCTTATGATTGACTGTCCAGTGTTGCCAACTTAGCTACTTTATAGCTAGATTTAGCAATTTTTTGATGTTAGGCAGCTACAATTTTTTAAATTTCGTAGCTAAACTTTTTAGCTACATTTTCTAGCAACTTTCGGTTCAAATTATTTCTTTTACAAATTATTTTTTCTTTTGGTCATCAGTAGATTTAGTTGGCTGTTCTTATAGTTAGTTTCTTTTGGGTTCAACTAAGTACAGGAAAATATTCAAAATCAATTGCGTGCTAATTCAGCTGCACCAGATTTATCATTACCTTCCCAGAGAACCTTCTACATCTTCCTCTAGTATTTAATTGAGTATTGTGATTATTTTTTAAATAGTCAATTGAGTAGTCATATAATATAAATATAGTATTAAGTACATACTATTATAGAAATAACACTGCTTTTAGAAATAATATTAATAAGATGATTTGTGTTTTATTTTGTTATTTGTATTTTAAATGCAATAAATATTAGTATTTAATAAAACTTTGCCGTATGATTTCTAGTAATCGTGTAAAATGGTATTTAATTTCATGAAAAAAATTAGCTTTTTCTAGCTACTTTTCAAGTCGAAAAAATTACTCAATCTAGCAACTTATGTGAAATTCCTAGCAACAGGCCTTCGGTAGCAGTTGGCAACACTGTGTCTGTCGCCTAGCAACGATTATTGTTTTGTTTCTGTGGTTTTGTTTGTTCGAAAAAATTGAAAATCATCATAATTGAATTAAATTGTCATGCTATATGAAATACATATACAATTTATTTTACTAAATGAGAATTAATGCATTTTCTGTGAACAGCAAAGGTATTACAAAAATTTAGTAATTAGAGATATTCAACTCGGAGATGGCTTCAAACGAAAACAGTGTATCCACTAAAGAATTCTTGGACATCGAAAAGACTTGTGATGCATACAAAGATAGCGATGAAGAAATTAAAATGATACTTTCAGAAATAAATAAACTATCCGGAAACAACAATAACTGTAACATGATAGAAGATGATATGGATGATGTTGGATTGATCTTAAAAAGAGCGGAAGATATAGCTTTAGAGACAGAAAATTTATTGCAAAAAAGTCCTATAGCATCAGTTTTAAACAACGACTCTGCAACTCCTGCTATTCCTCAGATTAAAGTTAGTAAACCAAGTCAAATTATAGAACATGTTGAGGAATCCTCTGTCCTGCAAATTAAGGTGTGTAAGAAAACTTGACTTTTATACAATTTGAAGTAGTTATAATTAATTTAATCTCAATATATTTTAATATGCAGCAAAATATAGACAAATTGAATTGAGAAAAATCTTTATTAATTATCATTAATCATATTACATAAAATAAATTAAATAGTTTATTTAACTAAATATAATAATTTAATGGCATATAATTTCAGTACTCTTTGTTAATTTGCTTTGCTAGTACTCTTACACCAGCAAGAGATCCTTTAGCCACTGGTTCTATAAAGGTTGTTGGTAGCACAAAGCCATAACGCCCAGTATCAGAGAGTTCTACAGTATATGCATATTTTATGCCTTTTGCTTTAGCCCAGTCATCTGAGCCACCTGATGCTGGATAAAGAAGTTTACTTGATGATCCCACTTGATATTGGTATCCACTGGTACTTTTTATTGCCTTAAATAGAAAGAAACAATTAATTGGTTGTATTAATATAGGCAGTGCTATGTAGCATTATATAAATGATAACATTACTTCGGCCATTCTATTTCCAACAGCATTTAGATCTTTGTAATCAGGTGGGACAACATTATCATAACCCCATGGATAAAGTAGGTACTGTCCATAACTGTGGTATGTCAAATATGCTGTAAAGTTTGCACCACTATTAGTGATGAAGTCCTGTAAGTAAAAGTTGTATAGTTAACTTAAAGTTGAATTTCTATACAAAAATATTATTTTTTTACAAATGGCATGTTTCTAAATCATCAATACCATACTGAAATCCACTACTAAATCATATGATATATGGTTATTTATATTTTGTCTATATTATGTTCTTTGATCATCTCTGCCTATCTCACAAGGCATATGTTGTGAAGATATGGATTGATGTTTCATTATGCTTCTGTTCACATACTTAACTGCTCTGTTTTTTCTTAAGGATTGCGCTTTGGGAAGTTCAACTACACTTAAGTATGACTTTTGTTTGGTGGTGGTTATTATGGAAGTATGATTAAGGGGAGAAGAGGTCACCACCATATCTTATTTTTACAAGGGGGTTACTCTTTTAGTCAAAACTAATTACTTAAAAATAATAGTATAACTAATAAACTATTAATGTCAGTAATCATTTTTCTTTTAATCTTTGGCAATGAAATGAGAAACATAAAATCATATTCTTAACAAGAACTTATAATAAAATCAACCCAAAGCAATACCTATTGCAAAAAAAAGAAAAATAATGTTTCTTTAAAATACAGTCAACAGCACATCACACTATACAAAACTATCAAATTTCTTCACTTGATTTTAAACCTCAATGTTTTGAGGGTAGAGTTCAAAATAAATTGAAGGTATTAGACATATACCTGACGTACAGCCGTGTGTATAAACTTAAAGGGTTGCCAACTTTGGAGATTGTAATTCCCTTATTCTTTTTAATTTGATACATGCAGCAATCATTGCCTTCGGTCCTCAATATTTTCATAATTAATTGTTACTTACAGATAAAGCTTTTGTTTCTGGTTCTGAAAATGCCTTTGTTCCTCGGTAGATATCACTGCATGGATTGTTTGAGGTTCCTTTACCACCCCATCTGTATCTATAATAAAATTTGATTTATCAAGTTAGTTAATGATTAGAGAAGCTATTTTTGTAATCAAAGGGATAAAATTACCCAAAGTTTCTGTTTAGATCAGTTCCAGAGCATGCTCTCCCAGTGAATGGAATCCTTCTATTTTTACGCCAAAGACGGTCACCAACGTGAGTGAATTCATAACCATCAGGGTTTACTACAGGCAAGAAATACCTGGGAAAAAAGAGTTTAGGTGGTCACTTATTTTAACCAGTACAAAATGTTCACACCTGTTAGACTCTTTAGAACACACACTCAAAGCAAGGTTTCAGAAGAATCATCCATAATAAGTTTCCTCGGTGAAAAGATTCCTCTAAGAGTCTTAAGTGACGATAGAATTTTTTGGTATACAATTTCATATCATATAATCTAACCAGACCAGAGATACAACTCTTTTATTTTTGTACATTCATAGGCACATACCAGTCAATATTTTTGATGTCGTCGGATTCAACGTCGAAATTTTCCGCGAATTGGTTAATGAAATAGGTGACGGTCGCAGGGCTGATCCACTCTCGGGCATGAATTCCGCCGTCGATAAATACAGCTTTGTTTGTTGATTTACCATTTGATATACGCAGAACCTAATCAAAGTGTTAAATACATAATATTAGTGACTTATTTTTTTTTCCATAGTTGGAGGTCAGAATACAATAAGTTTTTTCTTAGTCAACACCGGATCTACGTTTTTTTCACCCGGCACAGAAACTTTATAGTGGCGCACGCTCTAATGAGCATTTGAGATAAATTGTTAAACACAAAAATATATCATTCATATGTATATTATATTCATTCCAATAAATAACTAGTAGTTAATAGAAAAAGGAAACGAAGTGTAAAAAGAAAATTTTCTATGCATTATAAATATTTTGGCGTTCGCTGGAACGATCGCCTGGGGCAGGTGGGCACCTGCCCCAGTCATATACTCATAAATTTGTTTAATATATAGCTTAAATGACAACAGTTAAGTATAGCAGCTGGTATTTAAGTGGATATGTAGCAAATTAGCCGTCAGTCTTAAAAGTGACATGATTATTGATATTTTGTCACGAAGTATACCATAAAAAAAACCTTATTTAACTTCTGTCTAATGCTATAATGAATGGAGTATAGGGCTATCATCTGTTAAAGTTTTAGACAATACCTTCAAATCTCGTCCCTCATAAGATGCTCCTATCGATTTAACGCTAACGATAGCAGGGTACGTTTTGGCGAGATAGTCCATAAATCCATATATATCTTCTAGACGGTGATACTGTTTCCAGTTCATGCGGTGTCCTGTGACAGAAATGCAATTTTGAAATCAATTAGTCATGACATAGTGTAGTAGTATTTTTCTTAACAGGTTTTTACCGTCTTCAAGTACTTAATAAAATAAGACCTTATATTTCGTAGGAGTTACGTCTCTAATTAACCGAATCTTTAGTGTTATCGAAACTCACTACCACCACGTTTACTGGGTAGGACTGAACGGCTCATTCAGCGAGTGCAGAATGCTTGTGCTCGGTTTTTTCTTTTCAATACCTGCTAGAACTCATCTTACTACAGTTTTAAACGAGCACCATATATTGAAAATGAAATCGAGACAAAAGCTGCACGCGGCTTGTCTGCTGTATGGAGTCATTAAATGAACCCGGGTATTTATATGTATAATGGACTCAGTTGGATGGGGAGTAAAAGACAATGCGAGAGAAGATTCAGTTACATAGATCTGCATCGTTCAAAGGCGCCTATCGGTATGCGGCTTCTAAAATCTGGAATAATATCCCACCCTCTTTAAGGGGTATTCATTCTATCGCTAGTTTTAAATATCGTTTGAAATAATACCTTTTAAATACGTAAAAAGTCTTCGTAAAATAACTGAATTGGTGACCTATTATTGGTGCAGTCGTGAGACGCAATCGCATTATGTTATTTTATTTTATTCTATTATTATTCAATTTTTATTATTTTATTGTAATTAGTATCCTAAAAAGTTATTTGTCTCATATTTGTACCAGAATAAATAAATTATTCATTCATTAAATATTCTTGTTATATTCACAACTAAATTTCAAGTAATTTTTGTAATATTTAAGTTTGTTACTTATTTAGTTTTTTTTTTATATTTGGAATTACTATGGCTGCCTAATTACTTGTATAAATCTTAATTACTCGTTTTTACAATTTGATTTATTGTTTGGTAAAAACTATTGTAAAAAAATTGTAAATAAGTAGCCATAGAGAAAACAGATATATATTTAACGAATTTTATCCTGCATCCACACCGAGCGATCCAAGACCATCCTACAACTACAACACGCTCCGCGAGAGCGGGAGCGGCTTGTGTGGACGTTGCTTCGCAGGATCAACACTTCGACTGCTAAGTTTTATGAAATAAAATTATGATCGTATTTTATTTCTCTGGATCGCTCTGCCCAAATTTGATCGTTCGGTGTGGATTCGGTTTATGAATAATGCGGATGAATTTTTATTCAGCTCAGTTTAAATGGTCGAATCCCTATTATTTAACGTTGATTGTTAGCACAAAACAATAAACATATAACAACATGCAGCCAATATCAGTTGAATAACGAAGTTTAAAACACTGTTAAGCTTTTTAAATAAACAAAAACGTGCAAAAAATTTCGTGCATTTTCTGTGTTGAAATATCAACGAACCCCAATGCGCATAAGCCCAATACTCCATGGGTACGTTTAGGGAATTGTAGCCCATGAAGGCATTTTCTACTGGACGTTGGGCCCTGTAACGCCAAAAATTGTAAGCTCTCGCTGGAACAAAACCACACACCACCCTTGGAATATTGGTGTAAATAAAACATTTTTATGGCCTACGAACGTGGTGATATATCCTTAATATTTCTTTTCAGATGGTTTGGTAAATAAATGATTTAGAAACATTTTTATAGCCATATAACGTTTTCAATATAATTTTAAGAAGTCTTTAGTAAATAGGAAAATGAACAGAACTATGTTTTTTATTAGATACTTAATGAAGGATAGCAATAACGATCGATTTGTCTCTAATAGTAAACTCACCTATTAAAATTGTATTTTTACTTTATTATTAAGAGGTTTTCGTAAAACATTATTTTTGTACGCACCACGTCGGTCTTGGAGTTCTGCTTCATTTTCATCTAAAGGCGGGTTTTCTTCATCTATCATTTTTTGCAAATTTTCTATAGAAACAGTGAATGGAATATTTTCTCTTTTTAATATTTGAGTAACATTGCCAATTGCGTTCGGTTTCACCAACACGTCGATAACAGTACCGTTACTCCCCCATGGCGAAATTACTAAAAATAATGTTATATTTATGAACTAATCTCGTTATTAATATTGGTTTTATGGTTTTTATATTTTGACAAAAAACAAACGACAATCAAACATTTTTCAAAAATATAAAAAATCATTTGAAAATCATCACATTTCCCAAACACATGTGCTTTTCTTTACAAATATTTTAAATGTTAAAAAGTTTCGTTTATAAATTTATAAAATAACAAAATGTATTGTACATAAACTGTTTATTTCATAAAAATCATTAAAGCGAAAAATAGGGATATTGATGTTAAGCTAATTGTGAATTAGACTTCGGAAAGCAGCTATTTTAAATCTGGAACCAATTTTTTAAATATAAAATTATATTATTGCAATTTTCATATATGCAGATCATTTAAAGCCTAAAACTTGCGATTACTGCTCATTTACATAACCTATTAATAACTGATGATTTTCTAAAAGTAGCTAACTCACAGTTTTTGCGTCTTAGCCTTGAAAGGACCACACGGGAACCCGTTTTATTTGCAGACACTTTCCAAACTTGGGCACCGGTGTAATCTACTTTCTGCGATATTTCATCCTTTTCGTCTGCTGCTTTAATTACGGTAGCTTCGGATTCAACTACTTTCTGCGATATTTTATTCTTGTCCTCAGCTGCTTTAGTTGCGGCAGTTTCAGATTCAACTACGCTACCATTTTCGACATCAGAAGTTGATTCTTCCACATCTTTCTGCAATTCTTTCTCAGCTTCTACTACTACTATATTTTCTCCGGTATTGTCGCCATTTTGTAATAATTCTTTAGTGATTAATTCTTCTGGTTCACCAGGCACTGGATCGGATGGTTGTTTAACCGAGCTACGTTCTGGCCATTCTGTAAGAATTATACTTAATGTGGCTTTTTATAACCCACAGTACGTCAAGTAGGTATACCACTAAAAGGATATTTTACCATAAAAACCATATTTCTGCTATCGATATTGAACTCTTCTTGAAAGGCATTAAGTGTTAAAATAATGAAGAGAAATATAACAGTTTTGTGGAAATTGATGTGCTCTTGAATATATTATATTATGGTATTAAAGCTATAGTATAGTGCGGTTTGCATCCTTCGTAATTACTGTGTGCAATTTATACACAGTTATTGTTCAGCGATTAGTACTAAACGTGATCCATCATAATTTTTGCTATAATATGTAGGTACTACAATTAGTTGATACGGAGTGGTCAAATTGCTCACGCAAGCGGCCTTTACTAGACTCATCAGGATGTACTATAAAATAATAAGGCAGATAGGATCTGTGTTGCGCGAGGCTTTTGTTTCATTAATTAAAAATTCCGCTTTTATGTACGATGACATACAATGTCATCAACCATTTAATAAGGTTCTTAGGGTCTTCACACACGCAATTCATTAGGAAGTGTTAGGTATAGAAATATTTTCCATATTTCGATTTCAGACGAAAATTTAGCGAAATTAACCATTTTAAAAATTGAAATCGGATCAATGGTGTTCCTTTTGTAACAAATCAAAATACACCTTTTATCAGATATCGAATCAAATATGTAGACTAATATTTCACCAATGTAAATATTTCAGCTTAAAAACAAAAGATTGCGTATTTCGAATGCATTCAAAATCAAAAAGGAAGATTTCCTATGTTCAAAGAGTATGTATATTTTTATGAAATAAGGTATATTTATTGATTTGTTCTCGAATTGTGAACCAATTTCTATTAAACAAGCTGTTTCCAAACGACTTCACCTGCGTAAATTATAGTCTATGTCCCCGTGTATTATGTAGCTTCCCGTAGATGAAAGACTTATAAATCGGACCAATAGTTTCGGAGCCTGCCCAATGCAAACAAATAAACAAGCAATCAAATCTATCCTCTTTATAATATGAGTATAGATTATTGGAAAAAATATATCTAGCAAACAAAATCATTATGCAATATATGCAATATTTTTATTTAATATTTCTAGTGTTACCTATTAAATAAAAAAGATCAATATCACTAAAAAGTATAAATAGAAACTTTTTATACAATATAGAACTGACTTCAAACTGCAGCATCATTTTTGAATAAGTTGCTTTTGAGATGAATATTATTTATGACGTTTTGAAGTCAGTTCGCTTCTAAATTTATGAAAAAACGTATTATTAATAAAAATATTTCAAATATAAAAGTAATACCCGATATCCAAGAGGATTGACGAATTTTTCAAGCACTTGTTACAAATAAATACTTTGAACTTTCGTTTAAGATAATTTTGCATTTACATTGCTATATTTTTATAATGTTCTTTAGCTACATAGAATCGAATCGAATCTAGCGACCGACGCTTCTCTGTGGCTTTTATTGTGTGAACTTTTAAAAAAAAACTATTAAGTTTTACCGGTGGAATTTATGCCATTAACTACGTTTAAAAGGTGGTTTTCACGCGTTCGGTTTTAAGAATGTTGCTGTTTACTTTTTACTATGTAAGACTAATAAATAATAGAAACATGTTTAAAATGCAAGACTTGTAACATATACAGCCAGTGACATTTTTAGTAATGACTTTCTCTGACCGTGTCGTTTTCCTTTCGGTTATATTTGCACTGAATAATGGTGAACTCGAATTAACATTTCCGCGAATAACGATCAAATAGTTCCATCACGTATGCTGAAGGTGAAACTGTGATCGGAATCTCGATTCTCTTCAGGATGTCAAGTTGTTGTTTGCGTTATTAGACGTTCTTTCAAATGTAAATACATCAGCATATCAGGCTATCGTAAAACGTCTAATTTTTATAGTAGATTTTAAACTCACTTCTAAGAAAATGAGCCTTACAATCAGTCGTAGAGAATTACCAGTCGTTGATAACTTAATGTGCTGCTAACTTTTAGTAAGAGTAGTAGGCAAAGAGGAATCGACTATAAAAAGTATTGTATAATTATTATATATTTTATCTTAACTATAAGTAAAAATATTTTTTTAAATAGGTTTTAATATTAGACGTAATGACTTGATACTTTGTTTGTATTAACCAAACACTGACAAGAGCGAGTTGCGTGATGTGAACTAGTATGCGACTGAGTATTGTGAGTATTGTATTGTTCTTCAAACTGCCTATAACAGAGGCAAAATAAAAACAAAAACAATAGTAAGTCATAGTACATAGTCATATATACCTTTCGAGCATTTTTGTGTAAGATAAATATCAATATCGTGAATGCTAAATATAATAAAATATCAAATCTACTAATGTTATAGGTTCATATTTTCAAAACACTAAACTTAAATAAAAAGGAAATATACTTACATATTATATACTATGAATTATTTTCTCGTTAAATGAGTACAAAGTGTCATTCATAATTAATCAATAATATTAATTACAAAACTTTGTCAATATTATTTTGATAAAAAAAATGAAAAATTGAGGGATGTAAAATTATATTGAGAAAAAATATCAAAGCAACCTTTAATTAGAAAAAAAAAAACTAGACATTACCTTGTCCGGGCTGTAGATCGTTGACAAACGGTGAACCGAACACAAAAGTGGCGGCCACCAGTAAAACGACTGTTTGCACTAAAACACCCATGTCTACTGGCGACTCTCCGGTGCCAGTGCCGCTCTGATGCGTCCATGCAGGTGCTAAGCCTTTTTAAGCTTTTACACTTGTTGATACTTTAGATACGAGGAAAACATACTCAAGTACCCAGTGTAATAAACGAAATGTATTAACACGGAGGATTTACTGAAATCTTTATTTCATAAGATAAAAACGAGGGAGATCGTTTTGTAACCAATGAAGTTTTATGTCAGTAGGTATTACATATTAATCACGAATTTCTTTAACCGCAAAATTATGTATTTTTAAGGTAGAATATCTTTAACGTTTTATCTAGGGAAGTGACATATTTCGGTACGATAAGAGTATAAAATTTTAAGTTGAGAAAGAGTATCTGCCTGTATCGTATTTCTGGTCTCTCTTTCTCGTAATGAGTTACTCTATTACTGGATACTTTGCTCTGGATCATCTGCTTGCTTGCGCCAATTTTAAACCAGGTTACTGTAACATGCTAGTCTTATAATTGTAGTAGTAGTTAGTAATAGTTTTTTTGTGTTTCTTACACTTGAAGCATTAATTTTTAATGTGTAAAAGTATATAAATTAATATGATTTTAGAAACAAAAATCGCGTAAGCGACAACTTTGCAAAGCGCCATCGCGTTCTATAATTAGTAGTTTTGGAACCAGAAAGACAACCTCAGTCAGGTTAAAGCGCCACGGGTTGCGGTCATTGCCACCTGATGCAGTTATTTATCGTTGGTGACAAATCGTATTTACTGTGAACGCGTTTCCAATGAGCTGTTTATCTAACTACGTACGTAATTAAGCTTCGTCAACGAGTGTCCGTGTTAACATCTTACATCGAACACATGTTATGGTCTTAACATCTAGGTTAGCTAAATGAAGCTGGAGTGTGGACAATTTATTATAATAGTAGCGATCATTTGTTGTGGGAAAGGAAATTTTTATGAAGATGGCTTCTTTTTATTTTCAAATATCAAATTCATGTTCTTATATTTTTAGGATAATCGAAACTGTAAACAAAATGCCAAAGAAAATAACGAAATTCGTCGAAAACCAAAGTCGAGACCTTTCTCCGCAGGAGTTATCGATTCAAAGAAACGAGAGACTGCGAAAGTTGCTAGATTTGTAACCAGCTCACCTAAAAAGATTTGTAAGCACGAAGGATTGTTTGAAGAACTAAAAGACACTAATGAAAGAATTAAAGGTCTTGAATTATTGAATGTTCAATTAACTGATGATAATAAAAATCTTCGTAAGAAATTAGATCAAATTCATGAACAAAAACACTTAGTTGATTTGAAATTAGCAGAATGTGAAAAGTTTGTAAGCAGGCTCGGTAAAGAGTACGAAAATAGAAATATGGAACTTAAAGCTGTCAAAGAAAGTGAGGGTAAAATTATGGCTGAACTAAATAAAGAGCGAAACGAAAGAAAGAATTTGTCAATACAACATGAAAAAGATGCTATAGTTATAAAAGATCTTCAGAGACAAGTAAAAGAGATGGAACTCATACTCAGAAGGAAACATCCGGATTCTGTGTCGGCTTTAATAGGTTTGTATTTAATATCATATCAACAATGTTCCCTTTCATTAAATATATTTTTATAAGTTGTTATGTTTCAGTGGCTTCCAAATCATCAACGGTGGAAGATAACAAAAAAAAGTTACTAGAAGAACGAATCACCCGTTTAGAACAAGAACTAAAAGATAAAGAAAATCATTTTCAGGGAATATTGTTGACCCTCCAAGAAAAATTTAGTGATATGAAAGGAAAATATGAAAATCATATTATTGATGTGGAAAGACAATTGATGGATGAACGTAAAATTAATACAGAGTTTAAAAACAAACTGAATAGAAGTAATCTTGTCGATACTGCCGTCCAAACAGTGCCTAGATCACAGCATACTATTTCGACTCAAACTTTTTTAAAACCAGATAGAGCTTCTTCTGCTGTTAATAGGTTAACACAAAACTCTGCTTTATTATTGAATAAATTAAAAGAAGATAGTTATTTGGTAGCAACGATAAAAGGGTTGCAGACAGAATTAACTGTTAAGCAAAGAACAATTGCAAAGATAAATAGAGAGACTGAAGAGCTCAGAAAAAATCTACGAAATCTTCAAAAAGAGAAAGAAGGTGCCAGGACTAATTATTCCGCTACATCATTTTGTAAAAAAATGATTAGTACTAAATTTTATTTTTGTTTTTTTTTAGTATTACTCAACTTGAACCCTCATAAAAAGAGCGTGAGTAAACAGACAAAGTCAACAGAAAATATACTAGCTAGGATGAATACGGAAATGGAGTCTGAACTTGCTGAAATCCGTAAACAAAGAGAGGGGCTCCTATTGGAAAGAAACAGTTTGCTAGATTCTTTAAAACGCACTAATGAAGAGTTTATATTATTGAAGAAAAAGAGGATACAAGACGTGAGTACTTAATGTATTAACAAGAGTTTTTTGGGATATTATCTGTGCTGATTTTGAATTTCAAAGTGCAATAGAATTCAAATAATAATACGTTATGTAGATAATAAATATTTTATGAAATGTGATTACGACAAAAGTATACTGTATGACTGACGTTTATCGTATGCATCTATGGTGCATAGATGCCATTTTAGAGTGTGCCTTATCGCTAGAAGCGATCTCTTCCAGATAACTCTTGTGTTAAAGGACCCCTGACTAGAGAATTAAATTATTTCTTATTGGGTTTGAGGACGATTGGAAACAAATTTCTATATTAAATGCGTAAAAGTTTTGTGTGGTAACTGTCAAAACTTATATGGTGGATACTTTTAGCACTTCAGAAACGTACGTTTTTATTGAAACCTCTATTGATAAATTTCTGCATTAATGTAAAAATGTGAAAAACTTGTATTTGGAAAAGGGAATTAATTACTTTTCAGCTTCATACTCTACAATTGGCTCACGAAAAGGAGTTAATGCAAATGAATATGCAGGTTTACCCTCTTCAAGAGGAGATAAAACTTCTAAATCGAACTGTAGAGATCCTCCAGGAGCGCGTGAGAGCAGCCGATGATAAATTAGTGAAATACCAGGCTGGCATAAAAGAGACTGAGATGCACGCTGGCGGTGACACTGGTAGCCTAAAGAATGTTGGTAAAAAAGATAATCGTTGAGTTATGTAGTTTATAGATAGATATTTTTCTTGGTTCTAAGCTGTCCATTGAGCAACATTCGAATATCTATTGTAAGTACTCGTTTTTTTTCAGACGTTTATTATATTGAATGCATGTAAAATATAAGTATATAACAATGATAATTAGTATTTGAGTTATTAGCATTGGAGAACATTTTTTCCAGATACCATATAGATAGTCACTAAAGTTATAATTTGTATCAAATGTTTTATTAAGTTGAATTTAAGTTATATCATGCATTACAAGCAAAAGCAGCTTATTAATTATTGTCAGTCAGTGATCGATAATCTTTCTCGTTCTTCAACTTTTTAGTATAATTTCAATATGTAATTTGTGTGATGATTATGCAACTCGGAAACTGACAAAATATTATTGTGTAATTGAAATCTAATACGTTATCAAGTGTTTGCCATTTTTCTAATAAAATGATTAGAATTTAGATCAGTTGAGGCTCTAGAAAATATAAGTAGCTTATAATTACATAAAAATCGTGTGGTGTGGTTTTGCAACGTATTTCATTCATTCATTCTGGAAAACGTCTATACCTAAGTGCCTATAGATAATGCAGTATGTTATACAATACCTATTACCACGACTGTTTAATGACTAATGTTTAATAAGAAAACGGTGTAGTGAATAGTGTCGGATCTATTATTTATTAGTCGTTGAAGTATGGACAATTTTGTACCATTACAGTGTTTACTTAGCCACCAGAATGTAACAAGAATACATCGGTGAACATTTCTTGATCTTAAAAACCTTAATATACATTCCTATTTGCATTTTAATTTTAACCGATTAACAGCTAGTTGCATAACGTCCATTAAATAGTTATTAGTTTAAAGTGGCATTGCCTATACAAATTTGACATTCATTAGAGCTTAAACCCGTTATTAAACCTTAATGGACGTTTGTGCAACTGGCTGTATATCTACGAAATAGCCTATACACGATTCGTTTTTGTTATTGATCTCAAACTTTGTAATATAATGATTTTAAGTTATTCATAGTAAAATTGCGTAATTCGACTATAGTTTTTCAAGATAAGAACGTCAAATTTAATAAATTTTTTAGGTCCCTTATAATTACATGTGTTACGTAAGAAGTATAACATGTGGGACAAAAATTTAATAAGAGCAGAAGTAAAAAGGCAGTGAATAATTCTAAATAATAGGGATGATAACTGGGTAAAGAAAATGGAATTCTATTTAGTCCGTCAGTCAGATAATAGAAAAATATTAAGTACGTATTTTTTTTTACTTCAATTTAACAAGAAATAGATAACAGGCATTAAAGTTGACACGTCACAGGTGAGTAGAAAACGTACCCTAACGTGACGTCATGCGAAATTTCAACTCCATGTAACGCCGTAATTTTATGATTACGAAAAAAATAAAAAAATACGTGTTTAATATTTTTTAACACTCTACCTGACGGACAAACAAACAAAAAATAGTCATCATCCCTATTCAGTGCTTTTACGTAAGACAATGCGTTGTAATCGCGAGTCTGTTGTTCATTGAAAACCCAATAAGTATATCCTTGTTGCGTCGTTCATCCTCAAAGCCGAGGGTCGTGATCTCGCCGAATGACTCGCTCATGTACCATTCGTCGCCATCTTGTCCTATCTCCGGCGATATGGATGGCCCTACTGACAATAAGTACCATGTGGCGGGTTAATTGACTTCTCTGTCAAGTTCTTCATGGATAAAATGATCTTCAGTTTCCGAAAAGGTCCTATTAGGTTTTTTGACCTATTAGAGAGTTTAATGTAATCTAGCTTTAGAATATTATGATAGGGACCATAAATAAAGTACTGTTACCTAATAAGTCCACTGTTTAAATTACATTCATTTAAGTCCCTAATGTTCGGTGTATCAGTTCGGTGTGGGACTGTAAATAAGACGTAGGTACCTATTATAGTTACTTTTTTAACATGTCATCGAGTAAAAACAGTGGACCGTATAAGATGACAGTTCGAATAAGTTTTAATTGTTCTCGAGTGCCTATGCATGGAAAAGAATTATGTTAATTTCGTTGTTGTTAAAAAAATAGAATAAAATAAGCACTGATTTGTAATGTCATTAAATATACGTAATTGTAATCCGTTCCTATCTAGCTATACGAAAAAAATGTCTAGTCGAAATATTTTTGTGGTGATTTTAGCTTTATGTGATGTCAATGATTGCGGTGCCTTAATTTTAACCGAATAAATGCATTTATTTCTCTCAATTTCGGGTTTAATTTTAAATAGTAATAATTCTGTTAGGTATTTCTTGAATAGAACCTTCTTTGGAAGTTTGCTGTTTGTGACATATTTATTAGATGGTTTAGATAGGTAGGTGCTAAACAAGATTACAATATTTAAGAAAACTAGGCCGATATGGATATGGGCTGATAGTATGTAGTTACGTGAATTCTATCTATTCTGGGTAAAACATCGCGTATATCCTCTTCCGTACTTCCGCCGAGTGGTTCGCTTTCCGGTTTCAAGGTGTTGCCATCTCTGAGGTACCGAGTTCGAATCCCATTCAGGTCAATGTAGAAATAGAACTTTTCGATATTGGCTCGGGTCTGGGTGTTGTGGCACCTTCGTTGTTTCGGATACTTTATAATACTACGGCTTTAGCTACACATCTTGGAAACGGAGCAATGTTTGTAATCTTGTCTAGTATTATTTTATATATTCCTAGACAAACGATAAGGCGATCACAGCCTCTTTAAAATTCGTGACCCATGCAAAAACAAATTAAGAAGCACTGTTATAGTTTTATAAATGTACGTTTAGACCATTTTCCGAGATATCATTAGCTGGTTCCAGTTTCTCTAGTTAACAGCATAGGTTTATAACAGCAATATTATGAAACTCGTTTCATGTCCCAGTTCCTTCCGATAGCTAAAGGGGCCAGTAGAGAAATTAACCTTCTTACATATTTATTATTATAAAACCTACTTTGTTATTATAAACTTGATACATATTTGAGAGAAAACTATATTTAAGAGAATGTCTTTAAGGTAAAAGTTTTTTTACAAGTGTTATTTTTTTAGTAGGTACTAAAATTGTGCAATAAAAATGAGCTTATTTTTAGAAGACTCAAAATCCTCCTCCTCCTTACGTGAATTTCTGAACACTATTTCGATTGACAAGGGAATCTTGAGTTACTATACTAATAAATAGGAAAGATTTGTTTGTATTTATGGTTTGTTTCCATTGAATAGACTACGAAACTACTGGACTGATTTTAAAAATTATTTTTCCTACGAGAAGCTACATCATATGCGGGTCAGGTTATAATTTACACAACCGAAGTCACAGGAAAGCCGCTAGTTATTGAAATAAAGATAATAGGTAGACATTTTATAGAATTAATTTAGGAAGAATGGTTTTTGTTTTGACGCATTAGGTAAAAGATAATAAATAAATATCGTAAATAGGGTCCGAATTCATTGGATTTTCAAAATTCTGATACCTACGGGGAGATATCAGACGTGGGTGACATTAGCTAAAAAATCTAGAAGTGCTAGTGACTTGAAAATATAGCGGAACGACAGGGTTTAAGGGACAATACCTTTATTGTTGTACAATGAAAATACGCTAAAATACGCTTATTAGTATATTTTCCTTTTTTTTTACTTTAGAAACTATACTAGTTGCCAGCACAAAAAAAAAATACTTTTCTGTTAAATTTAATGCACTAGCGGCCTTATTTTGCTCAAAACCACGATTTAGATTTGGATTCTCCAGGTTTCTGGTCATTTAGAGTATTTGCTAAATATTTGACTGCAGCCAGCATCTCCATGCCTGCGTCTTCGATTTGTTCGGGGGGCATTAAGAACCCGTAATAGCCTTTATCTTGACCTTCGATGACGTAGGTGTGTACTATCCCTGTGTCGTAAATCCAATCCATAGCGGAACCAGATGCTGGGTAGACAACATGGTATGTATGCCCGTATTTATACTTTTTCTTGCTGTGTTTGTAAATTGCCTGCAAAAGTTATTTGTAATTTTGTGAATAATCTATTGATAAATTTAAATGTGGTACAATCTGTAATTGAACTGTAATTGGCGCTTTTTTAGTCGAATGTGCAACGTCGAATATCTTATATAATTTGTCACCAAAATGTATTATCTGGAACTCCTTCGTGCTTTGGTAGGCAGTCTAAGCCGTTGATCTCGGCTGAATCTGCATGCGTGGTGGGTCACTATCCGATTCGATTCCATTCATAGCGAAGGCCTGAGCCCCAAAAGTGGGGATATTTATAGTGTAAATGTGATGATGACATCTCATTTAGGACTTTATTTAGACAAATCAATCTGGATTTTTTGACTTATAACGCGTATTCAGAATAGTTGATCATACATTATAATTACATCTCACCTGGCAGAGCCCACTGGCTGTAACGTTGTGTGTTGCTTTGAGTTCTGTTGGTGTAGATTTGCCGCTCCATGGATACAATACCATCTGACCGTATGCATGAAAATCTAAAACTGCACTCAAACGACTTTTTTTCTTCAGCACCGTGTCCTAGAAAATATTGTCGTTATATAAGTATGTAGATAAGAATTCATAAATATCGACAATTAATTAGGCTTTTACCTATTGATTGCTAATAAAAATAACATTGTTTGATTACATTAAACATACGTGCTGACGTCAGGCTATACAAAACTGTCAACTTGATCCACTTCATGTTAAACCTTAATGTTTTGTAGTTAGAGTTCAAAATCAATTGAAGAAATTTGACATATTGTATCGATGAGTAATTAGTATTTTAATCTTTCCCTACCAAGTCTGCTACGTGTTGGTTCGCGTCCGCAGGCATTGGCGAGCTTGATCTTCTGTCATCTATTTCAAGAATCATGGAGTATATTCCAAGTAGAATAATTAAAAATCTATTTACCCTTAGAGTTCTGCTTTCTGGTTCGGAGAATGGATGTGGACCAATATAAGATTCCATGCATTCTGATGTTTCTGATATGCCTTTGATAAGCCAGGTTACACTAGAATTTAGAAACGTCGAATATCTTTCACTGGACATCTACTAGTTTCGAAAGATTAATTTAAAATATTTCATTGTCATAGTGCAGCATTTGTGTTACTACTCTTATTGTAGTTTAGATCAAGATTTTTTGAATTGTGTTCTGCGTTTCATCCCAACTAGCAAATTAGTCATATAAGGTAAAGTTTATTCAGCTTTTCGGTGTTATAAAAGTCGAGTAAGTGTGAATTATTCAGCACGTATCGTATAAAAGCATCTTATATAGCTTTTGAGTTATTCAGCATTTCGGTCACATAATGATGCTGAGTAAACGTTTAGTCAGCATCCTTATATGACTTAAGTGTCATATAATATTTTGCTGAATAAGTCGCTAGTATACGACGCTTATGTTACTATTTCGTCGAGTAAAAGCATACTATATAGCTTTCTTATGGCAAGGTTGACTCAGTCGAGTAAAAGCAACATTGTTGCTTTTATACTACTATTATGTAGTATACGTCGCATTTATACGACTATTACAAGCCTAAAATGTCGTATAATTGTATCCATTACACCGATCAGATTGTTTTGTGTAAAATGCTGTAAGTAGTTTACAGTTATCGAAAATGGACTGGAATAAATGGAAAAACTTGAAAAAAAGTGGTGGATACAAGAGGAAAGTGAAAAGAAAGTATCAATCGTTAATGGGTAAATCAAATATTATTATTGAGCAAGGAACCTCTTGTTTATGCAGTGAAGTGGGAAATAATATTTTAGTAAGTGGTTCCGCAGGTGAAATAATTACCTCAGAGAAAAATCATGATTTGGAATTTGAAAATCCGTGTTTGGAAAATGAATTGAGAGATTTAGAAAATAGTGTTTCCGTACACGAAATAGATTCAGACGACAGTAGTGCTTCAGAAAACTTTGACAAAGACCACTCCATTGACAAAGACTGTGAGTTGCGTAATAATATTGCAGAATGGGCGTATGAAAGATATTAATTTCTTTTCAGAAATAAAGCAGTTCCTGTTGTGTAACTTGTTCTAGTTTTGTTGTGTACAATAAATAGTTAATTAAATAAATAAACAAACAAAAAGTCTTTTTTAGAAAACTTTTTAGGAAGTTCTAAAGAACCCTAAACTATAATCAGAGTGGTATCATGGCGCTCATACTGCTAATTTGCTGTATAAGAAGCTATTATACCGCCTGTCAGCAGTAAAAATGGTGTACAAAAATAATATTGATATAAAAATATTTGTTATTATATTCATATTACTAAGAATTAAAGGGGGGCGTTAAATATTTATGATATAACCTAGTATATTTCCTCAGAAAACTTACCTTCGCAATACTTTACAACCCTATGCGTGAGTTTACGAACCTACATTTGGTGCAACCTACAAATTAACATGTCTGCTAAATAAATTGTACTTACCGATGAATTATAATTTTGAAAACACAACACGTCGAAGCGAAGTATTTTATTTACTATAAATGTTTTCAGCTGTTTTGTATCCCAGGTCGCTTCAATAAGACAAACATGTCATATAAAAGTCATATAAGTTACAGTTATAGCGCAACATAAGCTTGTAACAGTCACTCCGGCGATAATTACGTGACGATTTACCTTAATAAGTTACCTTTATACGATGTCTATGTGACTGAATTGCTGAATAAAATGGGCCCAAATCGCGTTGTATAAACGTTTTTATTACGTTTATACGACTTCTATTAGGAGCCAAAATGCTGAATAATTTTCGTTGCCGCGACTATTATACGACATATTTTTGCTAGTTGGGATTCCTAGCCACTTTATTAAACTGATAGAAAAAAAAAATTATACATTCACCATTACATCGTAGTGCCTCCACTAATTTCGAATTCCTCTGTTTTAGCACAACAGAAATTTTTACATTTAGGTTTTATGTATCTTAAATGTTGAAGACTACATAGGCTGATATGCTATTTGTAACGAATTATTAAACGAAAGATACGTTGCGTCGGTTGAGGAACGGCAAGCTCTAGTGGGTGGACAGCCCTGACTTGAATATAGCATATGGAGCATTTCCCCTGAGTTAATAAAAAGGAACGCCAGAACTGACAAATATATGTGACATTCAACCTTGAATACTCGATGAATAACCCATTGCATCTAACTAACGCACTAACGAGCATACTTGAGGCGTTTGACGGTGTTTCATTAGATTTTCACCGACCCTAAGTGCTTAAAACTTTTTTATCATGGTCAAAATAAGACAATTTAATACCATACCATTTACGTACTCACTTAAAGTTTCTGTTTAAGTCCACACCATAACAGTTCTTAATTCGGCGTCGATTTTTCCTCCAAAACCGGTCCGTTTTGTGTGTGTATTGAAATCCGTCCGGATTAAGAAGCGGAATAACATACCTTTATAAGTAATGTGAACAAATCAACATAAATTAAATGCATTTAGGAGACAACAAAAATCTATAATGTATCATTTACCTACGTGTTTAGCTAATCGAAAAGTCGTAGTTATCAGAAATAAAACCTTTGTGGCCACATTATAGCGATGTTTCAGTCAGTAGATAGGTAAAGGTAGATAAGGTAGTAAAGGTAGATCAATTTATAATCTTAGGATTAGGGACTCTTTAAGGGAGAAATTTAAGGAAATAGACATTATGACTGTTGCTTCTCAATACATATACGAGAACTTAATGTACGTTCGTAAAAATATTAGTTTGTTTTCTATAAAAAGTGATTTACACAATTTTAATACAAGAAATAAAAATAAATTAACGGTGCCTGTCACTAGACTGCAAAAAGTTAATAACTCATTCAAGGGTCTTTGTGTGCGCTTCTACAATAAGGTCCCAAGCAAAATACAACAATTAGATATCATGCAGTTTAAATCTACTATTAAAAAAATACTTATTAAAAAAGCTTATTATAAGGTATCCGATTATGTAACAGATAAGAACGCTTGGACTTGAGATGATCCAGCAACTGGATAGGTGATTACTTCTAAACTCATTATCTTGTTTCCATTATTATTAAATGATTATGTTATCATTATAAGACCATATTTATTTATTTTTTCTCTATCTCTGTTTATAATGTATAGATCTGGTAATGACATGGTTTTTGTAAATGTCATTACTCTTATTAGAGCTGGTGAGTTTCTTGCTTGTTCTTCTTATCGGCCAAAAGACGTCCTGAACGAGTGGTAGGGAAAAAAATGTTGGACGATTCAAAAGTACTTTTAAGAAGTCTATTTGAATAAAGATTATTTTGACTTTGACTTTGACTAAATTGCCATTTCGTAACAGACATGTAGCTTTTGTATCAGTGGTGGCGCAACATCTTATATGTAGCCAGCCAGGGTAAATTTTTCTTTGAGAGCTTTACAAAATTGACCGCGACAAGAAGTTTTGAAAATGTACTTTATTACAAGATCAAAATATTGGAAATGTTGGTATATTTATTAGTTATTATTTAGCCGTATTACTATAAGAATGCATTACGAACAGTTATAATTAAGATAGTATTTTTTATCTTCGTAAAATAACTGTATCTACGAACGCATATTTTAAATAATAATGCCGTTAAGTTTAAGTGCGACATAAGTAATCTGAAACTAACCAATCCTTGTCTTTAATATATGATGGTTGTTCGTCGTACTTTGTGATGATTTCTCGCAATATGACGAGGACTGATGTGATGGCGATCCATTCGCGCGCGTGTGAACCGGCATTTAGTATGATGGCTTTATTTGACGGGTTCCCGTTGGAAATTTTAATAATCTGCGAAATATTTAGCTTTTAACTAATTTACATTCTAAGGCCAGTTGCTACAATACTATAAAATAAACAATTCCTACAATTAATTTTGAACTTAATAATCATTTTATATTATGATTTAAAATCAATCAGAAAAATTCGAACTAAAACAGTATGTTGTTACAACATTTTCAGGATTTTTATTTACCTAAATCTCAATCTGAAACAAAAATACTTCAATTTTAACTATAGTGTGTACGCGCAAGTTTACAGTCTTACTTAATAAACAAAATCACTATTTCAAATTGGTTTCAAACAAATAACTAGTCAAAATAAACTGTATAAGTATTATACTAATATAATAAAGAGAAAAGATTTGGTTGTTTGTTTGAATGGAATAGGTTTCGAAACTTCTGGATCGATTTTAAAAATTCTTTTAACTTACGGGAAGCTACATTATACGTGACAAAACCAAATCGCGGGAGAACAGTTAATACTTTATAAAGAGACAACTTCTTACATAAGTATGTCTAAGGTTGGCAAAGTTGAAAAATGGAGCCAAGACATGATTTTTTCTTCATAGAAGGAGGAATGTAAATTCAGTTTCATTCTAGTTCTCGTATTTTTCTAAAGTAAAAGTTGATATTATTAAACGATTGTACCAGGGTACACTTCTCGTAAGTACAATCGTTTAATTAATTTCATTGTTTATACCCCTGACCTGAAAGTCTACGTATTAAACTGTATTTCTTCATATCACTATTGTTGCCATACAGAGTCAAATTATATCTTACCGTGATATTATTTTTTTCACCGGTTCGTCCAATAATTTCTTCTTTACATATTGAAGGGTAACTTTTCGACAAGAAATTTATATATTCATAAATAATTTCCAGCGTAGGATACTTTTTCCAATTCATTCTGTGACCTTTAAACATTAAGAATACTGCTTATTATGCAGTAACAGGTAAGTACTTATACCTGCCGTACTTAGAAAAAAATATTTGAGAGATTTTGGGTTGGGTTTGGTTACTTACATCACTACAGGGTGATAAATATTGTGTTACGCCATATTTTTTTTTTTTATAAATATTAGGCTCCTTTCCTAGATACTCCTATTCCCACGTTTTATGTTCTATGGTGCTATGATAGCCTGTGATGGTAGCATTCTTTCCATACTATTTCAATTATTTTCCTCTGTTCCGGATTGTTCAATTCAAATTATTTTCAACACTAATGTTAATACGATACAATACTAATGTCTAATGCTAAGACTTCTGCCCTCCAAAAAAAAACATAAGGGTAAACCGTTGGTACATACGTAGGTAGCTCTGTATCGAACTGTTGCCAGGCAAGACCATGCCGTAAATGCGAATTATACGAACTGGATTTGAAATTCTTGACTAGATTGCTCTACGACTTTCTGTGTGCTCTAAATAGTCTACATACAATACGTATTTGATGAATGTTCATGCTGGTGATGTGGTTATTAGTCTCTATTGTTTATTGCGTTAACCTAACATACCACGCCTAAGAGAATGCTTGTCCCATTGATCTGGTTCTATGGCTTGTGCTTCGATCCTTCTTTGTATGTCCATTATGAGGACTGTGTGGTTCAGATCTCTGGACTTCAGCTGTCTATTTATATACAGCTTCTTCTCAGGTTTTACTAAAAAGTCTGCTTGTTTTGGTAATAACTTCCACATTGATACATCTAAAAATAAAATTTAAGTGTTTCTAAAATTACATAGCTTGAACGAATATTGAGTGGGTCCCGAGAGGCGATTAGCCACTGTATAAGGTGTTTACTTTATTTTTTTTTATTATAGTTGTACAAAATTATACCTTATTTACGATATTAAACATTACAAAAAGAGACAATTCTTTCGTTAATCGTATAATATGCTGTGTCATACAAATTAATCCATAATAAAACTGATTTACAATAAAAGGCATATTATCAGAAAATAGACAAAATTAATTTGTCGAGCGCAGACTTATTCTCGCTGGCAGCATCCGTTCACGAGCATGACGAATGAAAAAAACGATATAGGTCGTGGCCTTATATCGTTACCTGTTGACTACACTCATCTTTCTCTAACTACCATTAAAGGTGACGAATATAGGCCTATGACGTATAGATATATTTTTTCACGAATAACAAAAGACGGCCCTAACATAAAAACAATGTTCCACTTGTAATTACCTTCGTTATCCATTAATCGTTTGATAAGCAATATGTCGTCAGCATTGCGCAAGTTGGCACGCCATAGTTGAGCTCCTTCATACAACCCAGAGTTTGGTTTCAGAGGTTCCGAGTTTTGCGACTGCGCAGAGTGCACTATCAAGTAGCAATATAACAGTGAAACATAGAAATGTGAGTTATAATATCGTATGGTTTAAGGTAAAATTTTCCACATTAAACTGAATTAAGTGGACGATGAAATTCCACCAAGAATAATACAGTTAAAACACTGCAAAAGCCTTTATGGACTTATTTTGGTAATATTATGAAGTTAACGTAATTCAAAAAGCTTTAATTTAATATTTTAATTAGAACTTGTTACGTGAAATATCATTTAATAAACAACGTAATCAAGACAACGAAATTCACCTGCACAGAATAAAATCCAATTGGCAGTCAGGAAAAACATTATACTACTACAAGCGCAACATATTTTATGGCACTTAAAACTTCGATACTGTAAGTCTGCTATAAATTTAAAACAATCGAAATCATTGGGTAAGGCGTGATATTGTTTGTAATAATAAACAGCATGTGATGCCAGTTATATAAGTTTATTAACATAGCAATATATACATTCATTTTAATTTGAAAATAGAAACATTTCATGTAGAAATTCACATAAATTTCATAAATATGTTGCAATTAGAAAGACATTAAGCTTGGTGTTCAATATTATTGCTATACTTTATGGGCATGGCTACATTCTCAAATCTGGCACATAATAAAAATGCCATCAAGAAATGAAATTCCGCAACACAAAGTTAAGTCACAGTCGTTATTGCTCTATTATTGGATTCCCTAATAAATATCACAATTAATGCACTTATCATAAATAAATTATAAAATTGTCAACCGAGTGTCTTGTCTTAATATTCAAGTATAAAAACAATGTCAAAAAACGATTCACTATTATATCTGATCACATGGTCCACTCTTGTGCATGAAACGCAAACCATACATCTATCAAATGTTTCATTAGTCTTATTTTCACGTTAGACACGATCATCACCAATTCATTGTTAGTGGAAATGACACATTATATTCTTTTCTAAAGTTTGTCTTCCAACGAAAAGTATATATACATTTATTTCATTATTGATATACACTTCATACGTGTTAATATATAAGCACATAAATTCACATTACGAAATGAGTGATCACTGTATCAGCGTTTTTTATAATATTTTAACAATCAAATTATATCACTCACAATAATTGAAAAATTAATTTCGAGTCAACGAAACAGATCAACGGGGCTATACAGTTGCGAGAGCTCACGAATTTCACTAGTTCATTTGCAGAAAACGTGTTCGGTAGAAGAACACTGGGGTCCTGGGCTAGTCGGCGTCGCCGTTGGTCACAGTGAGGGGGTTCTCGTCCTCGTTGTAGTCGAGTGATATTTCTGAGCCGCGGCGTCGCTTGCCTGGCGGCGTGTCGCTGCACTCGCTACCGGAGAAAGCACGTTTGTCTGCCGGCGACGTCGGCTGGTTACCATTCACTGTTGCGTGGGACGCCCGTAACTCACGCTGGAGGAACAACACCGTGCTCTGCATACCCTCCACATCCTCGTCCAACTCCTGCAGGAGCTCATCCAGTTCTGAAACCGAAGAGGCAGCTATAAAACTATTTAAATCAAACACTTAACTATCACTGCAACAATTAGACAGACCTGATTGTGATTTCTTGACTTCTTCACTGTAACTCTTCTGTAATGCCAAGTCACCCTCTAGTTTCGCTATCCGGCCGCTCGACGTCATTCGTCCGAGGTCTTCGTTTTCCTGATGCAACAGTCTACATTTAGCCATCAGTTTTTTTCCAGTGTTCGAGTCTGGAGTAAACTTCCATGCCGAAAGTTCGTTTTGTGTTTCTTCCAACTTCACTTTCGTCGACGTCAGTTCTTGCTTCAGCCTTAATATTAAAATGTTAACTGCAGGGTCTAATAGTGTAGGTCGGCCGTTAAGACTTGCATGTGACGATTTCAATTCTGTTATCTGTCCCTGAAATTGATTTAATAAAAATTTTATGACAGTTCGAAAGTTAATATCATGAGCATAATAAAATATCTTGCAATGACAATTTCAACTTACTACATAATCTTGTATCTCTTGTTCTTTAGCAGCGAGCCTTCTGACGAGGACTCTCTCCCTATGTTGTGACTCTGCATTTTGTTGTTTGTGCTTATCCTCTATCTCTTTCGCTTTTTCCAAGCGTCCTGTACAGTCAAAGTAAATATTGTTAAAAGTTTACACTCTCAATAAATATCCTAGGTATCCATAATAATATTTTGTAATAATTGTTTTTCTTTTTTAATTAATTTCATAGAAAATAATCACTTCAAATGTTAAAAGTCAATTGGAGCCCTTGTCAAATTTCAATAATAAATTTACATGATAAAATAACAATAATTCATTAAAAATATAATAAGAAAAAGTACTTGATTCTTATAATTAATAATAATGATAATCTTGCATTAACATTTGACTACTTTTTCTATAATTTATAAGACAAGTTTGATGAGCAAAAGTATAATACAAATCGACAACACCTTAACTAATACAGACATTACATTTTTAATATTTGTGATATATGTTAATATTGTGTTAAAAGCAGAAAGTAAAGCATTAGGTAGGAAAGATGCAGTTAAAGAAAAAATAAACTTATTATCTATAATTGAACACTTGAAACAGAATATTAAAAATGTTGGTGTTGCATCATAACAATAATTGTGCAGGGTATTGTGCTGTGCTTGTTGTGATAAAACAAGTACTATTAAAATAGCTGACAGAAGAAGTAAGGCGTCGTCATCTGATAGGGGCTAATATCAGTAGGTGAAAAAATTGAATAATTAATAACAGTGCATATCTAAACAACATTGACTGAAAGCTGTATTGTACATGCATTGTAATTATTAATGTAAAATACTGTTTTACTTGAAGTTGTTACTTTGAAGTGTTATTCTAAAGTAAAAATTAAGATAGCATAGTGAATTCAGAACTGATAAAGATGAATCTGTTTCACTACATTATATGCAACAAAAAAAAAAAAAGAAATAATTCAGTTGAATAGAGCAATTTCTTGTCACGTGAAGGGATGACATCCCAATTATTCCAAGTATCACTGGGGTGGAAATTTGCGATGCAAGAACTTTTTCACTGTGTTATCATTTTTACTTAATGCAACATAACAATAAGTTAGAAGCCTTTCCATTTTCTAATATTTTTTTAGTACTTCACTTAGTGTTGCAATAACAGCTCACCATACAACTAATTAAAAAAATATAATTACACTTCCTTTTTTTTCAATGATGTGATAATTTCAACTGCAGTTAGACAATGTGATAATCCTGAGAATTTTATTCAGGGAATTCTTTAGATTCATGAAATGTTGGTAATAAGATCAAATAAGTAAAAATAATATCAATTTTATATTATGAATAAATGTTCTTCATAAAATGTTCAGTTTTACATTTTTCCAAACAAGGTAAGAAATTTTTTCAGTAACATGCTGGAACACAAATTAAGACTTTTTTATAATGTATCAATTAAATAAATGTGACTTCAGTATTATTTATTGGATGTTAAAATTAAGTTACTTTCTCATAGTATAGACTAGTATTTTCAAAAATATGATTCACAACCTTGGTGGGTTCAAATAAATATTAAGTGAGCCCTAATTATTGATTATGTTATTTTTTTTTTACAATTATAACAAATAAGACAGCATGGAACAGTTTAATCACCTGCCACTAGATAATCTGACTATTACCTATATTGATACCTCCTTTTTTTCTTTAAGACAGTAATGAAGTGGATCTCAGGGTTTGAAAGTTGTGTCAATGGGTTGGAACCCAATCAACATTGGGAAACATTGGTATAAATAATTTCACTAAAATATTTCTATTTACATGATATCAGTCACTTTGTTACACAGGTAGGGTTGCCAGATGGTCAGGATTCGTCTGGATTGACCAGACATTTTGTATGATGTCCATAATAAAAATAAAAAAAACAAATATGTCCTGACAAAAAATGTTATTGTATAAAAATCAAATTCATGTGGTAATATAAAAAATATAATAAATAGGTATATTAGCAGTTTATATGTTTAATTATTATGTGATCTCATAATTTGCCAAAAAGCAGATACTTGCTTTTATTTTAAAATTTAATTAATAATATGTGGATTTCTTTATTAGTATTTTTTTGTCCCGACTGTGATCCCAAAATCCCAATCTTTTCAAATTTTGCCCAGATATTTTAGTATCTCTATCTGGCAACCCTATACACAGGTGATATTCGGAATTCTTTCTATATAATTGGTGGTGGTAAGGTGGTATAAATTTAGAAGAGTAACAATATTAACTTACATGAATCATTTTGTATCATAGAAAAGTTTTAAAATTTATGCATATGAAACATGTCACAAACAAACTCATGTTAATCATATTTATTCACAAAAGGATCATCTCATAAATTCAAGATTAAAAGATGAAATTACTGAAAGTTACTGTTAATATTTTCTTAATTAAATTTATCAACATTAAATAATGTTGTGTCAGTTTGGAAGTGGCAAAGAGTCCTTACTTACCTAAGAATGCCTTGAAAGGTTGAATATATGCACATCTAAGCTTTATATATATAAGGTTAATAATATTTGGCCATGAAATCTAACAGCTTCAATTACATATAACAAACTTATATTGACTAAACTTTGTAATTATAAGTTCTTATTAGCTTGAGCAATAAGTATTAATTTAATGTCAAAATATTAACTATGTATCTAAAGTAAATAAAATATAACTAAAATAGTGGTGAATAATTCCAACCTTTCAATACTGTCTGTTTCAAATAAAAAAACATATTAAACATGTACTTAAACTAAACATGTTTAGATTAAAAAAGGTACAAGTTTTTAAAATGTGATGAGATGTAACAAATATTTGTAATCGTAGTGCATGTTTTCACTTAATTTAAAACTGATTTGACATGTGGCATCACATTTTAAGTTTGTTTTTACCTTAAAAGTATTATTTACCAATAGCTTATTTACATTGGTCAATAAGCCCTGCAAGCACAACAAGGATGAATTTTGTAGTTCATCTTCATTGGTTTATTGGCCAATATGCCAATAGTCATAATTTTTTCAATATTAACAATGTTTAAGTAAATCAGTGTGCTAGCAAAAATTATGTTTTACTTATCCAAAGCTTTTGGTAGCACAGTGGCAAGACACATTGTAAGGCATATTACAAAACAAAACTTATTGATATAGCAAATAAGAAAAAAATAATTACTTTTTCACATGTGAAAATGCAGAACTTGGCATAACACTCTTTAGTCAGAGAGCATTTAACAGCACTGATCACAGTTCCAGGGAAACCTGGAGACATCACTGGGCCTTCAGCCTTCATAAGCACATCCACTGAACACTCCACAGCACCGCAAACACCAAATTCTTCAAATATCTTAAACTAATACACACCCCGTACCACAACTTCAAAATTAACAAGATCACAGTAATATTATTCAGTAATTTGTCATAAATAACACTAGATATTTAGTTAAAGTATTGTCGATATAATGTAACTTAATAACTCGCGGATCGCTCCGACCCCATCACAGGGCACTACAAGCCGAAACTTTCGTAAATACCTTCCAACTGTTTGTTCAATGTTTCAAGGTGGTCAATGTACGAGTCCTGGGTTTTCCACGCGGTGCGTAAGGAGTCCGCGGTGGCGGCATCAAGCTGATGTGAGGTCAATAGCACACGCGTCGGTTTTAAACTTCCTCCGCCCGCATTGTCACTCGCCGTCTCACACTGTCGATCTATCTCCTCTGACATTGCACTCTCAGAAATATGTAATGCCTTTTTTTTGTTGACTGTAAGCAAATAAGTAACATTATATTCTAGAACATAATTTGCATTTAGTACGCCTTGGGAAACCTGAAAATATCAATGACACATATATTTTTTGTAAGAATCTGAAGTTTTACTTACGGTTGAAAAGTGATTATACAAAATTGGAGATAGGTAGTATGATGGGTGATATGATTTAAAACCCTATTTGCACTAAATTGATAAAAAAACTAATGAAACCAAGCAAGACACAAACGACGCCATTTTACATGTAGCAGCAACCACAGACCAGAAAGAAAACATAGACAACTGCGTCTGACAATCAATCGATCCATAATACTTGTTCTTAGGGAATAGGTATTTTGATAAGCAACTATAGTGAAGTCAAATAATTTTGTGTGTGTATAATTTACTTAAGTGTAGATTATGTCGAGGCCATTAGAGGTGGTAAATTTGCGCTTAGCGTGTGAATTTAACACGCTAATTGTACTTAACTATTTTGATATTTTGAAAGATATTCTGAAATGGACACCTTACACAATAGACGCACTTTAAATGACTTTGCAGTTTTTTATAAATTATTAAATGCAAAATGGGATACTGGTGAGTTGTTGAGCATGGTATCACTCATAATAGGGAGAGTTCGCACTCAGAAATTATTTCATGTACCAATAACATCGTATAATGTCTCTTACAATAACCCTCTTTATCGCATGTGCAGAAATTATAATAAGATTAGTACTGAAGTGGACATATTCCAACAAAGTTTTGCTTCCTTTATGAAAAGTGTAAAGGTACACTGCCAAGGACAAAGTGTTTTGACCATTACTTAATTTAAAACTTAACTTGAATGTAATTTTTCATCTATTTAATTTTGCTTTTATGATGTTGTTTTGATTTAATTTTGTATATGATTTGCAATCATGTATTTCTGAACTTGCATTTTAATCTAAATTATGTATATATATTCATAATAAATCGGATTATTAATCGTGAATTTTATGTTAACCTAATAATATTTGAATGCTGTGCACAATTGTTATCGGTTGCAAGCTTACTTGTTGCTAGTAATGTCTTTATGTAAATGTATTGGTTTTGGTTTGTAAACTGTTATTGTGTCTAATAAATAAATAAATAAAATTAACGCTGTTAAGTATGTACACGTTAAGGCGTTAAATTGGTGGAGCCGATATTTCACACTCTTGCGAAAATATTAATGTAATCTTTTGCACAAAAGTAAAGCTTTAGTGTTTTAAATACCCTGTGAGAGTTATATTTTTCTGCTTCTCTGGCCTTTAATATTTTGCGAGTTGCTCGATCTCGAATGTGGTCTCTGTCGTCGAATAACAGGGCAATAAGCAGGTTTTCTGGGTGCGCAAAAAAAAACGTTTCTTCCGAATACTGAATTTACAACAGATCTCCGACTGTCAGGCAAAAATCGACAGAGCACAATTATTTGTAAAATATGCTTGGGTCCATCTTTAAAGGATGAGTTTTTTTTATGAGGAATCAAACAGGGCGTAAATTTAAACCACGTAGTTCACAAGCAGCTGCAAATTACATATCTGAGCGCGAAACAGTACTTACATAAAATCTAATAATGCGATTGGCAGTTGTGAGCCGTCTCGAATACGCCATCTTCTCAGGTTGGCGGTTCGCTAGCTCCGGGGAATAGGAACCAGTCATCATAGCATGACACATTTCGTAGAGATACTTTTGATCTATACAAAGTTCCTTCATAATATTATTAGATAATTCGGGTACATTGCCAACCACTGCATAAAAGACGTTAGAGGTTTATTTTCACAAATGGCCCTGAAATTTCTATAGGCCCAGATGTGTTGTGTTACCATCCAGAAACATGAATAAATAGCGAAGCGGTAATTCATTTGCGTGAAGCATACAAACACACTACTGCAACGATCTCTTTAAAAAAAAAATCCAATAATTTTCCTTTAAAAAATGACACCGCCCTTCCAACCTGTATTCGTAGCAGTACCATCGTAACCCACAGAGATTGCCTCTTCCAAGTTCAACCCTTGACTTTTTAACAAAGAAATGATAGAATCGGCTATCCCTTTGGCAGTGCTACTACTTGGCGTCGTTTATCCCAAATAAATCAACCCCGGCTCTGTGAGAACTGCAATGTGCTCTTGCAAAACTTCTCTGCGTTGGTATCGATCGCCTATATCTTTCCTGGCCTTAGCCCCAGCTTTAGAAACAGCTCCATGAATTTTGTTCTTATCGATAATTCCGCTAGCGGTTTCGCCCGCATGGGCTTGTACTATACAAAAATACTTCCTTTTTGAATCACCCTGCCTATGAAAAACAACCGCATTAAAATCCGTTGCGTAGTTTTAAAGATTGAAGCATACAGAGGGATATAGGGACATAGAAAGCGACTTTGTTTTATAATATGTAGTGGCAAGGTTTAGATCCATTTTTCTATCAATTCTTTGGTCCAGCACAAGTCTCTTTCAGAAATAGGAACTTTCTTTGGTTTTATGCAGGAACTAATGTCAAATGAAGTGCTAAGTGCACTTCATTTGAGTGAGTGCTAAGTGCACTTCATTTGACATTTGACAAGCAGCAATATTGAAGAGCTCTTCGAGATTCTAAAAAATATTTCTCTTTGCTTTTGTAGATAACATTTCGTTTATTTTTTGGGATATCTTATCAATGACAGGTATTTGTCGAAATATTATTTCAGTAATTGGGTAACTCGTACTTTGGAAACGGTGGGAATCAAGGCTTTGGTCCAAATCGCACTAAGTTTTTCAGAAACGATTAAAAACTTCTGAGTTAGAAGGATCTTTCCCATTCTTCTGTTGTTTCAGTTCATTTTTAATAAACAAAATGAATTTGATAACGTCACTTGTCACTGGTTACTGGCGTACATCAAGTTCTTTAAAAGATCCCAAAATAGCACAAATAGTCTCACTTCGTCTTGAACCCATTATTAGAATGTAAGACAAACACGAATTTTATCACAAGAAAGTACGGAGCGATAGAGGCGAACTGCCTCACCGTAGATGTAGAGAATTTGAGAAATCTACAGGACGAGAGGCAACAAAATTCTTCAAAGACATTTTGTATTGCCTCTCTGGTATTGAATTTTTTTCCCGCCAAGAAGGTATCCAAATTCTGGAAAAAATAGAAGTCTGCAGGCGCAAGGTCTGGTGTGGACGGCGGATGACGGAGAACTTTTAATCCCACCTCTCGTAGCTTGGAGACCGTATGCAATCCAGTATAAGGTCGTGCGTTGCATCGTGCAGGAGCAGTGGAGCCGAACGATTGACCAAAGCTGGTTGGAGACGTGCGAGCATGAGTTCGCTAGTGAAGTGCCATGGAAACATTTAATCAATTCTTTGTATATTAGTCAGTAAAAACTAAAAAAAAAGGTAAGGACGATAATAATAGTGGTAAAAGGAAATTTAATCAGAGATTAACAATAGCAATATTTTTTCTGTATAAATACCGTTAGTTTGAATTTGTTGTTTTATATTTCAGATTTCCTAAAAAACCAGGTTTGCGTGAAAAGTGGATTGCTACTACTGGCCATAATTACTAGATATCAACTAAAAATAGCATAATTTCTCCACGGCACTTTAGCGATGAAGATTATGTCGTAAAGAAAAAAGACGTTTAAAATAAATAATTTAAAGAAAAACAAAAACCTGACTGCGTAAAACCGAATTTTTAGAAACACATGAAAAAATTAATTTAAATTGAAACTAAAAAGAAAGAAACCAGCCCAGTAGTAGTAGAAGTCTGTTAAGAAATACTAAATAACTACACAATTGAAATAGTTTTATAATCGATACACACATAAAACAAATCGAACGACTCACATTCGGGCCCTATTCAAATTTTACCAATCAAATCTTCCCAAGGGGAAGGGGAAGTCCTAGGAGTATATTTTTAGATAAGGATCTAACTCCGGAATTAGCTCCGGAGAATTCCATGCTCTGAATTCAAACTGGAGTTTCGCTGTTTCGTTCTCATATAGATTTTCAAATAAATGGAAGGTAGAGCGTAGGCACTAAAGGCGAATTTTCCGTTCTGTTACTTACATAATTTTAGTCAGATCTTTTTCACAATTTGTAACCGTAGTATTTACTATTTCTTTTTATGACACATTATTTATTTTTCTGATTAAAATGCAAATTAATTAAAAATGTATACTTAAAAATAATAGGTCCTTGATCTTTAGACGACTTACTTATGACTAGGGATTACTGATTTAAAATAAATGAGTTCAGAATAGATGGATAGGGGAGTCCGGGAGACTTGCCCAGATGGGAGCGTTGAACCACTTCTCAAAATTCAACGTAAATTGCAAGCTAATGAAACATTAACACAGTCGTAGATCATGTATGGAAGACCAATAATGTATGTGTCACTATTGCACAAAATGCCTAGTTTGTTTAGCTTTTAAATCGAAAAGTGTTTTAGTTACTACAAAATAAATTTTTAATAATTAGTACTTTTGAGATACTGGCCGTGTTTATCAATGTAAGTATTGTGTATTATTTTTATAGTTTAGTTTGTTAATGTATGTAGTGTAGTTTGAAGTATGTTAATTTTTTTTAACAGTAATTGAATACCTTTTCTGCAATGAAAATTTTATGTCGAAGTGGTGTATGCGGGATAGTTGAACCACTGTTCTTGTTAAAGACATCAGTGGTTAATTATACCATCTGTAGTGATGATTCTTCTGCCATAATACTACTTGCACTCAATTCAATATTATAAATGTTAATAAAACAAGTGAACAGAAGGCAAATAACATTTAGAATAGTTTTTATAATTTTTGAGCATAACGATAAGTATCAATTCCAAATAATAAATATATGAAAGCAAAACTACGCAATAGACTCTAATAGAAAGATGATACTAAAAAAATAAACAGAAATTACTAAAACCCCTGATAATGAGTTTCCTCAGACTTTGGATCATATGTCTCTCATAGTGGGGAGAGTTGATCCATTTCCCATTTTTACTTCAAATCGGCTTAGCAATTTACAGTATTGAAATATTTCAAAAGTAATGATGCAAAAACAAGTCTATATAAATTACATATGAATTAAAATTATAATCTAGTCTCTACGACAAATCTATACGAAGATATGATAATTCAAGTAAAAAGAGGTTCAAGTCTCTCGGACTTCCCCTACCTATAAAATTTTGCCCACAGAGCACTATGAATTTCTTTTTCCACAGAAATTGCCAGAGTTAATTGCTAGAGAGAATGTAGTTTAACGATAAGAGCGGTTTATCATATGGCTGCGTCATGATTTAGTCAAGCATTTGTGACCATATCGTAAAATTGTTAATAAGTCAAAAGTCAAAATAATCTTTATTCAAATAGACTTCTTAAAAGAAACTAAAAACAAACTATGAAAAAAGACCATGATCTTGTAATGATAACATAATAATTTAATAATCATGGCAACATGATAATTTTTGAGATATAATGGTTCATATCGTTAAATGCAGATTATTTATTGATCATGCTGTGGGAAGTATTTTTTTCCATTTCATGAAATGCGACGATCTGGCCACGATAGATACATGGTGTATTTTCATTTTAGGTTATAAAACAAATAAAAGAAAGTAGGGTGACCAAGCAACAGAAATCAATGAATTACTAATAAATTTCTACATGTCGCAGTAAGATAGATTAAACCGCAATAGTTATATCCCTAGGGATCTAATTATATATCGAAACATGGTTATACCAAAATGATTTATTACTATCTTAATTGAAATATAATTAAGTACAATACTTACATTGTAAATATTTCACTAAATTTATTACTTGATTAAGTGAAATAAATCCGGACCACATTGCGCGCCCCCCTTCTCGCTATGCCTATGGTAGGAGTAGTGTATGTGCGGAGGTCCGGCGGCAAAAGACAGGATTATGATCTAGATCCAGAGGGTGATAAAATGTCATTGGAAGATATCAAAATAGAGTTTTTAAACACAAAAATGTATTCTAATGGCGTTGATAACTTCATAAATTAATAATAGTTAATTCACTGCAATGAACAAACTGCCGCTGTTTAAAGTCTGTCTCAGGGAAGAAGTCCCACGGCATAACTATTTTTTTTTTGTAATAAAAGCGAAAACATTGTGATCAGAGACATTTCTCGTTCATTCCGATAAACGATGAAAGGCTGTTGCCGATCAAAGCGAACGGTCGTCTAATCAGCGCTGAAAATGAAACGAAAACGAGCAAAAAATCACGTTTGTTGAAATATATCATCTGTGAAAATCACAACTGTCTAACTATCACGGTTCACGGACCTTGATGACAGTCAAAATATCAGGTTTGTTGTATGGGAGCTCCCTGAAATATTTATTTTATTCTGGTTTCTAGTATTAGATAATTAAATGGCAACAGAAATACACAATTTGTGAAAATTTCAATTATGTTACTTTCACGGTTGATGTGATACAGCCTGGTGACAGACGGATAGACAGACAGCGAAGTCTTAGTTATAGGGTTCTCGTTTTACCCTTTGCGTACGGAATCTTAAAAATGATATATCTAATTTCGGATTTATGTTAGCTTGACGAACAATAATCTATGGAGGAAGAAGATATTGCATTGAAACAGTTAAAATATTCAAATTTCTTGGACACGGTACATACACTTCTTTTAAATATACATTATTCTTTTAAGTTTTTAATCTTTAACGATAAAGTTAAAATGACGTGGAATATCATAAATAGTGGAACTGGAAGAGAAAAATCCCGGAATACAAATTTTAATTTAAACATTGATAATAAAAAAGTAACATCAGATCTTGAAGTTGCTACAGTATTTAAAAAAAAATATTTACTGAAATTCCAGTCTTAATTACAAAATCTCTGAATTCCTCTTCCACTGTTGCTGAATCTATTTTAAAGGCAAGTTTAAATAATTCTAATAGCCTAAATTGGCTATGTGTTTCAACACATTGATTTTAAAGATGTAATAAAATCTTTTAATCAGCTAAAGAAAAAGAAAACCTCTGATTTATGGGGTAATTCCATTGAAGTTTCTAAATCGGTAATTGAAACAATAGCTCCAATCTTAGCTTACATATTTAATTAATGTACTGATTGTGGTATTTTTCCTGAGCTCATGAAATATAGTAAAATTATTCCTTTACATAAATCGGGTAGCACATCTGACCCTACTAACTTTAGACCTATATCCGTGCTACCTACGTTTAGTAAGATTTTGAAAAAATCATGCTGGATCAAATACAAACTTACTTTTACAAGAATAAGCCTATGAATCGACAACAATTTGGTTTTACAAGGGGTCGCTCAACAACCGAAGCCGGTGTCGAGTTAATACAAGAAATTTTTAATGCCTGGGAGGATTCACATGATGCGTTATGTGTTTTCTGTGACCTATCTAAGGCATTTGATTGTGTTTTTCATGAAACATTGATTAGGAAACTGCATTTTTATGGATTAAGGGGAAAACTCATTGGATTTTATTGTCTCATACTTGACTGACAGAGTACAGAGGGTTGATAACAATGGCAAAAGATCCCCTGGATCGAAAGTTAAGATGGGTGTTCCGCGGGGCGCAATACTTGGTCCTTTCTTGTTTTTGATTTACATAAATGACTTGCCTTATTTCATAAGGGATGATCACGAAATAGTTTTGTTTGCGGATGACACTTCACTTTTGTTTAAAATTAAAAGAAGGTTACCTCTTAATGATGATGTGAACAATTCTATCGCTAAAGTAGCACATTGGTTTAATGTAAATAATCTTCTCCTTAATGAAGGAAAAACAAAATGCTTAAAATTTGTACTACCTAATGTTAAAAAAGTAGATATAAAAGTTAATATAAAAGATAAGAACATGGGCCTTGTGGATACCACAGTATTTTTAGGAATAACATTAGATTCTAAACTATAGTGGGGCCCACATATTGATAGATTGTCGAGTAGACCTAGCTCTGCAGCATATGCCGTAATGAAAATACGTAGGTTAACTGACATAGATACTGCCAGATTAGTATACTTCAGTTATTTTCATAGTGTAATGTCGTACGGAATCCTATTGTGGGGAAATGCTACCGACATACAAACAATTTTTGTGCTTCAGAAAAGAGCAATTCGATGAATTTATAATCTTAGGATTAGGGACTCTTTAAGGGAGAAATTTAAAGAAATAGACATTATGACTGTTGCTTCTCAATACATATACAAGAACTTAATGTACGTTCGTAAAAATATTAGTTTGTTTTCTATAAAAAGTGATGTACACAATTTTAATACAAGAAATAAAAATAAATTAACGGTGCCTGTCACTAGACTGCAAAAAGTAAATAACTCGTTTAAGGGTCTTTGTGTGCGCGTGTGCGCTTTGTGTCACTATAAGGTCCCAAGCAAAATACAACAATTAGATATCACGCAGTTTAACCCTACTATTAAAAAAATACTTTTTAAAAAAGCTTATTATAAGGTATCCGATTATATAACAGATAAGAACGCTTGGACTTGAGATGATCCAGCAACTGGATAGGTGATTACTTCTAAACTTATTATCTTGTTTCCATTATTATTAAATGATTATGTTATCATTATAAGACAATAGTTTTTTTTTATCTCTGTTTATAATATATTGATCTGGTAATGTCATGGTTTTTGTAAATGTCATTATTCTTATTAGAGCTGGTGAGTTTCTTGCTCGTTCTTCTTATCAGCCAAAAGACGTCCTGAACCAGTGGGAGGGAAAAAAATGTTGGACGATTCAAAAGTACTTTTAAGAAGTCTATTTGAATAAAGATTATTTTGACTTTGACTTTGACTTTTTATAAGGTACTTTATAGACATAACCTTTAATTTATAGAATTCACGGCATATTCATAAATGTTAAGTTCAACCTTCAATGCAATAAGGTTTGAAATCAAGAGGAATCATTAGACAATTTTGCCTGACGTGCTGTTGACATAGCAAATATTTTTTCTAAACTAAAAATAAAGACGATCAATACCTTTTCAAAAATTGTATGCATTAAGACCAAATTTATATATATAAACAACATAAGAGAAATTGTGAATGTAAATTAAACAAGAAGTGTAACAGAGACTTGTGAGTTTTCTATATAAAATAATTTATAAAAAATTAAAAATAATAATTTAATTTCAACGAATCAATAGATTTCATAAGGACACCCTCAAGTTCCTTTTTGTAGAAACTTGAAATGAATACCAAACCCTCATTAAATTATCGAATAAATTGTATGATGCCTATTGTCCATTGTTTTAATTCACCAATGACGGAGACACTCCAAGTCACTCCTAACCCCTCGCATTGCTGTACTTACCGACTTACTGTTGTTGCGCTATAACGAGGACCTTAGCGCATTAAAAGATAGGACAGTCAAGTGTTCTTTAGTTTTTATACGATCGTAGGATTATGAATTACATAAATGAGGAGCTAGATAGCGTAGTGTTTAGCTGGACTGGTTTTAGGATAGGTATCCGCAAATTTATCTATTATCTCGAGGCACCTTCGTACTTCTGAAGGCAAATTAAATCGTCGGTCTCGGCTTCGTTCGGTATTGTGCTAGCTAGGTTATATGGCACGTTCTTCCTTTTTGACGACATTCTTTGAAAATTGCTCCATGTCAAAACGGATATTTTAATTCAATAGCAGTTTATTCTTTACCAGTCATGTCACTCTTAGGTAATCTATTATCGTCAGTATAGTAGCGTCACTAATAAAACAAGTTTCCATGATTTCTTTTTAATTTAATATCTTATTATCGAATGGAAAGGTACGTAACACTTAACATAGAATTAATGTTTAACATTAATTATATATCTATACATTTATCTAATAGATCAGGATTGTTTACTTTATATTTATCTCTATATCACAATATGTACAACTGAATAGTCTTCAATATTTGCCAATCGTCAATATGGTCTCCAGACTTCTTGACTGCCGGCGCCGTATAGACCATGTTTTCCTTCATCTGTAGTATCACACGTTTGGACAAGGCCACTGTTTTCGCCAGCTCCTTGGAGTTCGGTCGTAATTGATATGCCTCCATCGATGTCACTAATTTTAATTTCACTCTGCATGTACTGATCCAAATTGTGTTTTTCCGCTGAGCTGTGTAGATGGACATGTATTTGATTTTGATTGACGGTCGAGTAGAGATTTGGTAAAATCATTTGTGTGGGATTCGGGTTGATGTACGGAGCATGGGATTGTAAGCAGGCGGGATTGTTGTTGATGTTGTTGTATTGGTAGTTGTTGTAATTGTAGGTGTTTGCTGGCCACGTGTTGTAATAGTTTGGGTCGTAGCGTTGTGTCGGCACACTGGGTGCGTTGAGGTCTGTGAGCGCTGGTCCAGGGTTGGGGCTGCCCTTCACGAAGCCTGAAGAGCTTGTCTGGAAGCCGCTGTAGTCAGCGTGACCAAGAGGTATTTCAGGTGGCAACACTGGAAGTAGACAAACATTAAATGAGATTCTCTGCAAACATTATTTTTAATTAATTACTACCTTGTCGGGAATGATTACTTTTAATAGTCGATGCCTATTGAGCATAATATGCAGGTAAGCTAAAAAAAAAATTGTCAGTGACACCTTTAACAACCTTAAAAATCGCAAGCGAATTTATTTTGAGTAATTACGATTTTTAAATGTTTTTAGGGACTCTGGTATCACAGTAATTATCAAAGGGAAGGTAAAATAAGATAAACTTAACTACTAAATTAAAGTCAGGCAAAACAATCATTTCATAATGATAAGTATTTCCTAATATTACTTGTGCTATGCCAAAAGATATATACTTCATTGTATCCGACAATGAAGGGACAAAGGATGACGATATACATATGTGTCAAAAAAGTTCTTAACAATTATTTTATTTTCACTGCGTGCTTTTTGCATTGTAGTGCATAAATAACTCAGATATTTTATTAATTTTCCCTATAAAACAGGGTATGATCACAACAAAATGGTCAATTTTAGGGGTTACTTTGTTATTATTTTCTATCTGGAATAATTTATAAATTCACTTATGCATGAGACAGCACCTTTAACATTATGATAATTTTTAATTTTGATTTCCAGCTTTATAAATAGACCTATGGAAGTTTAATCACAATTGTTTTTTAACAAATATTAAATTTAGAAGTGACCACGATTGGGAACTTATATTGTGGTCAACCGACACATTACGTGGTTTACATTGAGGAAGTTTATTTGCGATAAATAAAATTATTATTAACATTACCTATTACATTATTATTTTAGTTTATGTGACGTTGTTCATGTTTGAAAAACATAGATTAAATAGTGACAGAGACGAAATAAGTTATTGAAATAAAATCCCCAATATGATTTTAAAACAAAAACCACTACATGATAAAATGAAGAGCGTTCTGTTGTTACTTATTAGTCCATTAGATGGCGTTAGTGGTTCACGAGTTCCCTTTATTTTTCCCATTTTTTATTGATCTCATTATTTTGCTTAGCATTTTTATGAAAAAACCGATGTAAATAATGTTTTTATTAAGAAAGTAAACACTATGCCTTTGTGCAGTTTAAGGGCTTACACAAATGATTGTCTTGTGATATTTGAAATATTAAGAAAATCAATTAAATTTCATTCAGTTTTTTATTGCAGTCATACAGATATTCTACTTAGATACAGCACCTAGACAGAAGCCTGTCAGGGCACGGCAACATCCAAATGATTGAAATTAATACATTTATCAAAATTAAATTAACAGTACAATACAAAAAAAAAAATTATGACAATCAAACTCATCCAACCACCAACCAACTATTTGCGGCGATTATTAAAAAGAAAATATTACTTTTTTTTTGGTTTTTCGCACCATATAGGATCACTAGGTTTTCTGTTTGTTAGTGCGTCTGTCATAATCGGTTTTTATTCCGAAATGCCTAGATCGAGTAGAAATTTGATATACTTAGATAGATATGTAAGTTGGTGGACCCAACCAAAGATGATAATCGATTGTGTAACGTAAATACATAAATAAATTTGAAATAGTTCCAAAAATCATATTGTGTAGGGTTACGAACCAGAAGATTGAAAAATTAAGAATTTGGAAAAGCCGTTTAAAAACAGGACGCAGAAATGTAGAAGTTTAGTTTTAACACCCAAAAAATAAATAATCACTACATAGTATAAAACAAAGTCGCTCTTTAAAACTACGCAACGGATTTTGATGAGGGTTTTTTTTTCATAGATAGGGTGATTCAAAAGGAAGGTTTTTAAGTATAATACAAGACTACGCGAGCGAAACTGCTGGCGGAAAGCTAGTTTAAAAATTATAAAAACACGATTGCCAAAATCGAACTAAAAATGAAAGAAACAAGTTGTTTTATGGTGTGGCTAAACAAAATTCTTATTGTAGTCGAGGGGCCGGTCTGTGCAACATTTGTAATCTAAGAGGCCCCCCGATTGCATTGATAATTTTGTTTAGCTAAGCTATATAATACAACTTGATTCTTTCAGTTTTAGTTCGAATTTTACAGGCGTGTTTTTAATTTTGAAATTATTTATTTTTATTTTATCCCTTTTAGCCAGCAGTCAAAATTATATATTTTCGGAATGTAGCTACTAATCAAAACTTCTAATTTAATACCCAAATTGCTATTATTGAAGATAAAAATGTTTTTGACATATATATTTATATATATATATATAGCCTGTATTATTTAGGATGATGTAACCATTTCTAATGTGACCCTACATGATGCTATTATAATGATACACAGAACAAGGAACCTTTTTTCCTTATTCATGTGTAATATTAAGTATAGTATCCGTTTTTCAAAGCTTATGGTGGAATAAAGAAACTCACATACTGGGACATTGCGTATTGGTGGATGTTAATGATTGCAGATGCATTAGGGACCAACGGCTTAACGTGCCCTCCGAAGCACGCAGTAACTAGAGATAATAAATTTTTAGTCACCAATCTTATGATGGACCAAGCGAATGTCGCTTAGCCAAAATACAAATACTAAGAATTTTATAAACTTAAAAGTGATTTTCATTCATATTTACCAGTGGGCAAATGTATTGTAGGATCAGGTTTGTAGTACGGAGGTTGCAGGGGACCGTACGCCGGGTAGACGGTCGTCGAAGAGGGATAACCGGTATTCCATTCTGCCGCACCTGTGATGTTGCCAATGCTTTCTGGAAAGAAAATTATTTATTTGCATATTATTTTCCGGTATAATATAGGTTGCTTTGAATAATACACAAGAATTTTCTTCAAAGCTAAAGAATCCGTCATTGAGTAAAGAATGATTTATTTCATTGGCAATCGTGTTTTTCTAATTCGTAGTGTGTTACGTATAAAAATTAATTGACAATTTCATTAAAATAGAATTTTAGAATAAAGAATAGAATAAGAGAAAAAAATCTCAAATTCTATTCTTTCAATAGAATATGTTCTACTAATATATTGTTTGTTTAGGTAAAGAAGATAATTTCGCCACGCCCTATCATTAATGTAGTATCTACAAATATGCAACTTTACAGGAGAGCGGTTTAAAGATGAAAAGTTGAATAAAAACGATATTTTAAGGGTTAGGATTACGAAATTAGGCATGGGTGTTTTTTATTCTACGATACATTAAACAAATATAATAGATTAATTTATTTTACTTTATATACGTTACAATGTCACGTGAAGCTATTTTACACGGACATATTTTACTATCTTACGCAGGATGTGGTAGATCCAACTTTTTTTGTTGTATAAAATTCTGTTCTACATGTCGGATGTGGCACATTTAACATTTTTGACTAAATTAAATTCTGTACAATAAGTCGGATATGGTAGGTATGAAGTTTATGATCGGAAAACTAAGTATATTTTGTTAATTTTCCTAGACACGTTGTTTCTTATACCAAAAAAATGGAAATAATTTGCTATACAAAATTATAAATTTGAAATCTATTATATTAATAAAATATGAGTGGCAAGTCTTTACATAAAGTTAATAACTTTGTAATATTACCTGTATCATTACATGCACCATTTTCAACAACTGCGTTGTTTGGTAAAATAAGGCTTAAAATCCTTGAGGATCTGCTTCTTTGCGGTCGACAGACATTATATCTTTTGAAATCAGAGTGTATGTAATGTTTCACAACAATTTGGCGCTCTAAAGAACCTACGTGCATTTTTCCCGACATTAACTATGTAACTGGAGGTCGACGCAAGATCGACGCATCCACTCGTCGGTTATGTCCGATCAAAATTGATTGTAAGTGAGTACCTTCATTTTTGTACGTACACAAGCGACACTACCGACATTAATAACGTAATTATCTTCGTAATTATAATAAAATCAACAATTATTTTTTTGTGATAATATTCCTTACATCCTTTTATGAGGTTTTATACAAAAAAACAAAAACCGTTAAAATGCAGATCCCACATTAATGATAGGGCGTGGCGATTTATTACAATATATCTATTGTTGGTAACCATAATAATAAACAATAACTTCATTACTGACAATTGCAAAACATTTAATCTATACGTCAGTTACTAGGTAAAAACTTATACATTTAATATTTCAGGCTTTTATTTAATATGAATCGTTTATTTAGCATAGCAGTAACAATCGTGAGGGAATACGTGCCATGAGTCGCGTACATATTGAGGAACAAAGCTAAAACTAAATAATACGTAGGTACTTATTAGCATAATACTTTTTTATCGGACGTTTGAGTCACACCCTCGGACAACGGCACTGTGCGTCACAATTCATAGTATTTTATTAAATTACTGAATTAATAAGTATTATGAAGCATTAGATTTATATAATTAAAACGGAGATCCCCAAAGGAATTGAATATTATATTTCATAATACATTTATAGATTTCGTCGATGCTATTAAAAAGCAACAAAATTTTGATGAAACAAGATTAAATTACTGCTAATGTCCAAAAATGACAGATCGCTGTAGATAAAACGCAATAGCAGAAAAATACTAAATATGATGATTGTATTATATAGGTATTAACTTTTTGTATAATTAAAAAAAAAAAGGTAAATCTTTGACTATAAGACGACTAGAAATTTAAAAGGACGCCTACCAAAAATCAATAACTCTCAATTGTTTTGTAAAAAGAAATAATATCCAAATTAGCTGTAACTAAAAAAGAGAAAACTACCATAACACTTTTGTAAGGGTATTGATTGGGTCAAAACATGGTTAATGAGGAAGTATTAAAAAAAAACGAAAGCACTAAAAAAGCATCTCTACTAGATGGCGACTCTAGCAAAAGTAGAATTTTAAAGGAAACGAATGGACTAAAGATAGTCATTTCCGTTCCTTTTAACTAACATAATAAAAACTGAAATTTGAAAAGTTCGAAACTTAGATATCAATACAAATACAAAAGTACAATAATCCTAATAGTCTATTAAAAAACTGATATCACTAAATAATTAATATTGATGATACTGTATAAAGCTCCACCGATATTTACTCAGACAAAAGTATGTTTTCCCTTTTGTTTAAATAACTTGGAAATTATAGAATTAATTATACAGTTGGCTCCAACCCAAAAGGTCTTGACCAACGAAGAAGGTACTTTCACTTAATACAGGCGTTGACGTGTCTTTATGTAGAAATACAATTGTATTCGTAATTTCGGCGCGTGACCCCACTTTCGTTGATTTACTACGACACTAGTGCATTGTGAATCAGCTGGCAATCCCGATGCGTACGCGCACTGGTCCGCTTACGTGATCCACATATCAAAACTTGCTATTGACAATGGAACGATCTAAGCTGTGAATTTTGGACTTTTATATCATCGTACGTGGGAATTATATTGAATGTCAATCGATAATGATAATGTGAAATGTGTGTTAAATAGATTTCCGAGTTGATTTTTTAAAGGTTCATGAGATAACGATTGAATAATTTTAGGTTCAAATTGATATCCTATAAATTCCAATGTCAGGTGTTTATAACGTCGTAATAAATTAATAATTCTTTACTGCTTTTAGGGCCGGTTTCACGGTTGCTGATAAAGTCCCTGATAGTCTATCAGGAACTTATCTGCCAGATAAACTATAACTTTTGGTTTCACAGGTCTCGGATAAAAATATCTGGCAGATAAAGTGTTAGATATGTTATCAGCCGATTCAAGTGGCTGATATAGACGTTATCTGATAGATAAAAAAAAGTTTCAAGTAGCGGGAACGAAAATAGTTTTAGTTTTAGACCATTATTATGTGCTTTGCGTCGATTGCAGTCACGAGTGTCACAAATATTCTAAAATGGATTTATTTGAGTTTTTAGAAGACGAATTAAATGAATATTTCGAACATTTTACACGACCCCCGTAGAAATCGAGTTATTAACCCTAGACCTAATTATTTAGAATCACTTGACGATCAAGATTTTTAGGAATCGATTTCGGCTTACCAAACGGGCTGTTGTTTATATTCTATCGTTAATAGAAAGTGATATAAAAACTACAACGGGCTACTAATTTAAAAATAAAGAAGCTCCATTTCTTCTTGATTAAAATTCACACTTCTTTCACGTTTTTGTTTTTCCATTATTAATTAACAAATACGAAAATAATACACAAAGAAAAGTTTAAAAACTGAAAAGCGTCTTAATCACAAAATATCAACAAAGCAAAACAAATGATAGTTGCGTTTCGTTTCTGTAAACACGTAGCTAAGTATACGATATCGTATTATTTTCATTCTTGAATCATAAAAATTATAATTCAGAATATGTGAAAAAAGTTTACTTAAATAATATTGAACACAAAAAAAAATATTAATTAAGTTTTAAAAATGATTTTTGATTGACGATAATTTGGGTCGTAGTATTGAAACGCAAAAAAGCGACGTTGCCGTTCCGTCAACTAATAAGTGGCGATAACTTATCTGCCAGATAAATTATCTAGCAGTTTGATGGTGAAACAGAAAAAAGTTAACAGCAACCTTTATCCAGTAGATAGCGTTAACTATCAGATAACTATCTGAAACTTTATCAGTAACCGGTGAAACTGGCCCCTTAGTATAGCTAGTTATTATGTCTTTTTACCCGACTGCGCAATGCAAAGGAGGGTAATGTGTTTATGAGTCAATCTTATATATATAAAAATTTTGTGTCACGATGTATGTTGCCAATAAACTCCTAAACTACTGAACCGATTTCAATCAAATTTCACATGTACCCGTATTTTGGTCTAACTTACTGGATAGGATAGTTGTCATCTCAATTATTCGCTTATGTCGTGAATGTAAAAGAATAAAATGCACTAATTAATTGTTTCTTAAGCAAGTATTTATTTACTGTTTGGTTTTATGAAGTTCTCATAGAGGGCGGTGTACCTAGATTCATAGATAAAATTCTTCAAAATCGTTTGACATCTAGGTTGAAAATATGGCGCTGTGTTATAGATGGCGTTTATTCTAAAGTAATCTACGGTAACGTTACTTTCAAATAATTTTGCGTAGATTGCGTTTTCGATTAAGTTTTTTGTAAACTTCAGAACCGTTTTTTTTCATCTGCATTTCAAATTGCATTGAATTGGATTAATATATCTAAAGTTTTAAAGATAAAGTGCTGAAACATATTAGACATTTATTGGTTTTTTTGTTGTACTATCTTCGAACTTAAACAACAAGGTAATTTCATCATCAGCTCAAAAAACAATAGCGTTTTTGGAAAATATATGTTGCCCAAAGTAACTATATCACGCGAACGAAGTCGCGAGCAAAAGCTAGTGTATGTATATGTTTGTTCCTATATGACATTGTAGAGACCAAACAGATTGACCAATTTTGATGATTTATATGTCAATCGATTTTAATCTTGCGAGTGTCACAATAGTAATTAAAATTCTTATTTAGAGTTTAGTGAAAGTAATTTAAGATTGTAAAACGAAAAAATATTCTATGATTGAAAAGAGCTTTCCTTGTAGTTAAAAGTTCAATTAGGCATATTTTGCTGAATTAATGACGAAAATGAATTCATGCAATATTATGTTGGCCTTTGGTTAATCGATACTTTATACTAATAATAAAGCTGAAGAGTTTGTTTGTTTGACTGAACTCAAAAATCTCAGGAACTATTGGCACGAATTGAATTGTTGTTTTTGTGTTGAATAGTCCACTTATCGAGGAAGGCTATAGGCTATACTT